TTATTATACCTTTTATTCAAGACGTCTAAAATTTTGCTACACTTTTGAATATCAAAAGTTCTGTGACTGTAAAAATGTTTTTGTCTACACTAAAATTGTACAGAATGAAAAATATTGGTTGATTCAAGAATTTTTTTCTGTGTAGTGAGCCCGATTCATTCACTGTCTTCTTTCCGAGTTTGTCAATGTAACAAAACACGGACTGTTACACTTTAATTCCGCTTGTCTCAATGCACCTCGTTCCCGGTCTACGGCGTCTCGCTACTCGAGTTATGGTCCATTTCCCGCATCCAAAGATCACATCGTTATGAAGGCGACGTGTTCAACCACGCTCTGCGAGCTATTATATCCAGAGAATCCACTGCGCTTACCCGTGTTTACACAGATGGGCGGATTCAAGTACATCACTTGGAATAATATCGGAAAAACTTGGATTAGGTGGTTTATGACGCTGCAGCAGACAAGTAATTTAGAACAACCTGTATAAAGGAGTCGATCGGAGCAATGTGTCATGCGTTTTTGATTTTTGAAATACTGGCAGTGAAAGTGGCGTACGCAGGGGTGAATTTTGGGAATCTGAACCCCTTCCATGACAATTAAGTGCATGCTAAAAAGGTTACAAAAGAAATTTAACCACCAAAATTAGTTTAATTAAAGGTACAGGTTGGCTCAGATTACAAAAAAATTGCGCAATATTTTGCTGGAAGTTTCCCGGAAATAAAATATAACGAATAAACTCATTTTTTAAGCTCCAATAGTTGCTCCAAACAAAAAATTGTAGCTACGAAGCTGTTTTTTTAAATATGGATGTTATTTGGATAACAATCTCGTATGTTATTTTGAAAACAATGTATTAATTTTTAAAATGTTTTTTTTTTCAACAAATGTGCGAAATTAAAATACAAATAAATATTTACACCTCGGATTGTTTGTATCTGAATGAATACACAAATATAAACTAAAATTCAATTTTTCGGAAATCATATTAGCAAGAGCTTGATCAGAGTATTGTTTACACAACTAAAAACTACTAAAATGATAAACATTCGTATGTAATGCAATATTGAAATAATCAGGCTCTGTCTCAGTCTTTTGTACAGGGTTAGTCACTATAATCTGACAACTTATTCTGTGTTTATTATTGAAATTACAAAAAAAATAATACAAAAGTTTTAGCTTTTTTATGAATTTTTATGATACAGTATTAGAAAAAACAATTGAATAACTGTTTTCCTTAAAAAAAATTATAACTAGCTGCTACACAAAAGACGTAATTTTAACTAGATCACAAAGTAACACGAACCATAGATGAGATGTGTGCTTTAACCGGAAAATCTAAACAAACTTTCTTATGATGATGAGCGTTCTGTTTTAATTTTCTCTATAATTTATACAAAATTAAAAACATATTCTCAGAAAAGAATTATAATAATACTCACTTCAAAGGGTTTTTTATAAAATTATTTATCTGCATCTAATTTTTCGCAATTAGTTCCGTGAAGAGCCGTTTTGTACAAGTTTGATTAAATATTTTTAAAAAGTATATTTTGCATAGTTTGTTTAAGGTTTAAAATAAATGCAAACATAACTTATAAGTAGCAAAACAAGTGTATCACTTGAAATAATACTCGACTTGATTTGATGTTTTTGATAAGTGTAATTATTTCAAAATCTAATGATAAATAAGATTTAATGTTAACTTTCGTATGATTAAAACGGATGAAAATTACAGTTACATATTGTAAAAACGAAACAAATTAAAGCCGACTCTTGAAAACAATTTCGTGTCCATAAACTTAAAGTTGTAGTATCTCCTTAGGTGATTTCAATTAATATATTAATAAACTAGAAGCTTAATAAGCATATGCGAATGGGAAAAGGTAATTATTATGCAAAACTACTGGAAGAGATTAATCGGTCAGGACCTTATAAGAATCTTGACGAGTACAAAATAAACTCTGTGATGTAAGGTAATAATAATAATAATATATGATACTAATATAAATATGCAATGCTTCTCCGAATTCTAATATTATTACTTTTTTTAGAGCGCTATGTTACTCAGAGAGAGAGAGATCTACCTCTAATGATGAGGAATATATGGCTAAAAGAGTGTGCTCTTAAGAATCTTTTGGCCAGATCTCTCCAATTATTTTTATATGTGTTGGGAATTCGCTCTTTTTGCATTAAACAGAGCTTATTTTTACAGTAATTAAAAAAAATAAATCACCTACATCTCTTTGTTCCCAAGAGGGCTTTTTTTATTACGTTAATTGTTAATTAACGGGAATTTTAGAGACAATTAAAGAAAGGGTTAAACTTTTATTTTCAAAAAGTTTTACATTTATAGTTTAAGTAAAAAAAGTTTCTCTGGTACTTCCCAAAAAGAGCGAATTCTCGAGCGGTTTTTGCCTGACCCTGGGACATTTTGTTTATAACGCTGTTTTGCACATCCAACTTTGTTAGTTGTAAACAGCAACTTAATTTCGTTTCTTTAATTAACGTTCAGTTATGAAACAATTAGTTGCAAAAAAAACAAACGAAAGTAATTAACAGATCTATAGCTTTTTGCAATAATAATGCCCAATTCGACTGGACTAATATGTAGTTTGTCCCATTTAAATAATGTTGATCAGAATATAAACAACTACCTACATTTTCTATTTCCATTTCTGCCACAAAGAAAGAAGATATAAATAAATTATGTCTTAATTTTAAAAATTAACAAGTTGACTCAGAAACTACTGATTTTCATGGTTATTTAGCTATGTTTAACTAAACCATTAATATGTTTGCGTTATAATTATATCTATTAAAAATGTATTTTTCCGGATTTGTTGGATCGAATTAGGTTGATACGTCACATATTTGCTCAAGTAGTTTAAAGTAAATAGAATTTATTTTAAATTGCATTTCCTTTGTCAGTATTGTAAAATATAATATAACCGTCAAATAATTCTTAAAAGTAATGTAACTTTAACAGTTGTTCAAACCAACAAACCAAAGTATGCACCAGACAACCATATCTTGCATGATTTCCAATAAATCAGATTTCGTGAAATGTAAACAGAGTCTATATTTAACCGCTTTTGTTATAAATATTTATAATTAACAGTGATAAAAAGTTAGATAGAACATGTCGTAATGACTCTTCTGTACAATATAATGCAAAGTACAAATGATGAAAACATCTGTCTATCAGTTGGTATGTCGAAAAACGAGACAAGTCACTTTTACCAGAAATAAAAATATTATGTAGTTGCAGTTGTCTCCAGAGCTAAAAATAGCTTAAGAGGAAATGATTAACAAAATATACATCCTCCAAAATCTGTTTGGAAATTGAGATAAAAGATATATTTTTGGAAAGCTCAAAAAACATCCTTTGCAGATTCACGATTTTTTGCTACAGCAGCACCTCGAATAAAGTTTGAAGGAGCCTAAATCCATTAGCACCTCGTGACTAGCTGTATAAAGCAAGTGATACCCTCGAAATATCCGAAATGTGGAAAGCATCAATATTTATACAAACTATTTATATTCAAAGCAGGTATTGGTTAGAATGGTTAGATTAATATTTACTCAGTATGGTAAAATTAAATTAACACCAGGATACGTCACATGTTTACATAAAGATGTTTTGTTATTTAATCTATATCACGATTCTTTTAATTGCAATTACAAACAGAGGTACATGGAAAATATATTAATATTAACTTGTTTTGTGTACAGAATTAGCGCCCATCTTAAGCAGAATTCGAAAATATTTTTATTTAATTGGGTATGTCTGCAACGTTGTAAATATATATTTTTTAACTTGCGCTTAAATGATTAGTCAAATGTTAAATATTCACATAAAGTTCCAATTGATGCCAAAACATGCTGTCGATTTTATATAATCTTAGTGAAAAAAAACCAAAGGATTTTTTACAAAAAAAATTATTTATTTGAATTAACTTAATAGTTTATAATAGATTAAAAATGCGATAGTTTTTTCAAAAAAAGAAGTTACCAAAAAGAAGCAACCAAGTTACTTCTACCTTTTTTTACCTATTATTATATTTATTATTTCTAATTGTCTCCAATTGATTATAAGTTTTAAAATTATTGATTACCATTGTTTTTATAGGGATATCTTGCAAAATATCACACAAAAATTGAGAGGAACTTTTAATAAGAATTATATTGCCTATCGCAAAATGTTAAAACATTAATTTCTACAGGGCCGTATTAATTTATTAATTTGATTTAAGCATAGTGAATCATCTAACTTCGTCATTGGTTGGCAACCTGTTCGGGTTGGTGTAAAAAAATATCACATTCATATCAGTCTTTCTAAATAATGTAATGTAGTATCCTACACTAGGAAAAAATCTCGTATTCTATATTACTATCACTTTGAATATAAATCACTATAAATAGGTGTTATATTGTGAAGGATTTGGGCGTCTACTTCGACAGTGTCCCTAGCTTCAGACAGCACATTAATAATATTGTACTTTCTGTCTCAAAGGCACTTGGATTTATAATGAGAAGTACAAGATCATTTAAAAATACTTATGCTCTAAAAATTCTTTTTTATTCTCTGGTTAGGTCTAAGCTACAATATTGTATTCTTGTTTCGTATCCATTATACAAGAGTTACATTCACCCATCCAAATTCCAGCCTGCGTCCGTGATGCTTGCCTCGACAGATCGAAATCCGCCGGCCAAGACACCCGGCTAGGCGGTCCCCAGAAATTGGGTGTATGCATATCTGTTGAAATAAATGTCTTTATTATATGTGACGTCACACTAAAAGAGTCTATTACATATAGATCTATAAATAGACACAATCTTATATATTTTTAAAAAATTAGGAAATTGTAATGGGAAAATATACGGACAAAATAGTGTTTAGCTGGAAAATGAATTGTTTGGCATTTCTCGTGTATACCTCTCAGCAAAACTGAGACTACAGGAATGTACAGCTCTGAATTAATTTTTGATATTGGTCTTTGCAGGTGATCCTGGAGCTTCGGTGAGGGGGGAGCCTGGCCATGCGCCTCGGCCTGGCTTCTCTGCTGGTCGCGCTGTCGTGTTTCTTCTGCCGCCCCCTTGCCACCGTCGCCGTCACCAGCCCCACTCCAGAGAATGACGAGGCCCGCCTGACGTCCGGCGCCTACCAAGCCCCCAGCCCGACCAGCCTCGATTCCCCCTACGGCTCCGCCGAACCGGACTACCTCAGCTCGGAGCAGCCCCTGCTCTTTTCCCACTTCTCCGACAACCACCTGAGGGACGAGAATGACTTCAACGCCACGCTGCCCGGATTCTTGGAGTCGCACGATTTTAGGAAGAACCTGTCGGTGGGCGACCAGGTCCTTCCTAACGTCCCCATGGCCAGGAAGAAGGAGCTCACCGTGGGGTATCTGACCACGGTGAAGGGGACTATGAGCGAACGGCAAGGGCTGCAGGTCTCGGGAGCGATAACGATGGCTTTGGATGAGGTGAGAGATCAGTTTTATCCATTTTATTCATAGTTTTATCCGTTTGCAGTGTTTGCACCAAAAATATACAGAGCGTACAGTTTAAACTTAAAATTGAAAAACGGGGGGTCAATTCTTCTGGGAAAAATAGTAGGATCCAAAGAGTTTATGAAGAAAAATTACGTCGTGGTGCCACATAACCTCAAATATAGTAGAAAAGTGATTTTGGCACTTCTAGGTTAGGACATCTCTAAAATTCTGAGGACTGATTCGGATTTGGCGCGTCAAAAAAAAAAACAAACAAAGTAAAGTCTAATTTCAGACTACACTTCAAGGTCAATCACATTCTGTCGGCACGCGTAATGACCAAAATTGGAAGACACTTTGTATTTCTTAAATAAACAAAGATATTGTGATGTAGTGATCGCCATTAAATTTTTATCAAAAATATACAAGGTGTTTATTAAGTACTTGTACAGACTTTAAAGGGTGAATCTTTGACTAATTTTAAGATAAAAAGTTGATATGAATATAGGTCTGTAACGGCTTGGTTCTTGAGATACAGAGCGTCCAAATATTTTTTTTTTTTTTTGTATTTTGGTTAGGTATATCTTTGTTCAATAACAATGCAATTTGACGAAATTTGGAAAACTGAAAATTGATGATGAGAAACTCAAATATTTACTTAGTTTTTTGTTTAATGTTACAGGGCGCCACATACAGTGTTGTACCTAGATTTAAATAATCAAAAAGATTCGCTCTTTAAAGTTTGTACAAGTACTTAATAAACACCCTTATATTTCCTTGGAAAATAAAAAATAAAATTTTATGATTTCATGTCTCTTTCTAAACTAACTACAGCCCATTCAAATGATCTAAATTGCGTATATTGGTGGACCACTAGTGTTAGAAAGTAAAATAACTCCCTTGTTACTCATAGTAAAGAAAAAAGTTTATATAACAGTTGTATAGAATCAAGAAACCTAAACTACAAAATTAATTTCAAACATAACAGGACGATGAGTAAAAACGGGACACGCCAAAGATTAAATTTTTTAAATGGAACACCCTGTATATTGTCAAAGATATGGATTTCCGAGAAAATTCTATATATGGCAGTATAAACAGATTATCATTTTAGTGCGGGGTTGCCAAGTTATGTAGAAAATTCTTCGAATTTTGGAAAAACATTACCTCGAAGAAGTTGTATTAACTTTCAACTACTAACACTTGGAGCAAAAATATTTGATAGAATTATAGGCAAATGTTAGGCAAAGACTCCTATATTAGATAATATCGATATTTTATATAGGGCATTTTTTATAATACGATCATTTTTAGAAAGTTTAAACTTGATTTTATAAAATTTTTCAAACAAAACACCCTGTATTTTATTGTTCTATTTTATTCACATATCGGTCTACTTCAACTTTTATTAAGCATGTTCCATATCTAAAATTGCTAGTTTTTAAGATGTAGCAACATTTCTAAAAAAACTTAATTTTTATTAGGTATATTATAGAATACCACAAATAAATATTAACTAATAAAATTAACTCAAAATGGAATGATAAATAATTATGAACTGACAAGTTGACACAATGTGACAGTTTTTTCCAAAGCCATTTCATGCTACCGAAAATATTTAAAAATTAGGTTTTTCCAGAAATGTTGCTATATCTTAAAAACTAACAACTTTAGGTGTAGAACATACTTAATAAAAATTGAAGTGGACTGATATGTGAATAAAATAGAGCAATCAAGTACAGGGTGTTCCATTTGAAAAATCAAGTTTGAACTTTCTAAAAATGGTCGTATTATAAAAAATGTTCTGTATAAAGTATCGATATTAGCTAATATAGGTGTCTTTACCTAACATTTGTCTATAACTCTGTCAAATATTTTTGCTCCAAGTGTTAGTAGTTGAAAGTTAATACAACTTTTTCGAGGTCATGTTTTTTCCAAAATTCGAAGAATTTTCTACATAACTTGGCAACCTCGCACTAAAATGATAAACTGTTTATATTGTCGTATATAGAATTTTCTCAGAAATCCATATGTGTAAAAATATAAAGGGTGTTAAATTTTAAAAATGTAATATTTGGCGTGTCCCGTTTTTAATCATCGCACTGTATGTTTCAAATTAGTTTTGTAGTTTAGGTTTCTTGATTCTGTACAACTATTATATAAACTTTTTTCTGTATTATGAATAACAAGGGAGTTATTTTACTTTCTCACACCAATGGCCCACCCTGTATATATCCATTACAAATTTGACATTTTTTAGCTTCATTTGAAAACAAACGCAACCCAGAACAGTCTCAGTAAATATTTCTAAAAGGGTTTAATGGATTCGTTTATCGTTATGTAATTTCCGATTTCCTATTCCTATAATTATTATTATCCTATAATTTCTTGTTGAGAATTTATAGTCCCTACCATAACGATCTCAATGGTAATAATTTCTTAAAATTCTCATAGAGCATGGTATAATTAACATAACGAGATTTTTGTTTAAAAATTAACAACATAGGTAACATATAACTTGTAATTTGATAACTGAGCTAAAATTCTTTAAAATTATAGATAATGAACATGGAATTTTTGTATTAGCTGATCTAGGACTGAGAACAGTATTTTTAAATTAAAGGTCTCTAGTCCTATCCCTATTGTTAATAAATTTATAGTTTTTTTTTATGGAGGATTTTAAGGTATTAAAACTGAAACGATTACACAAGTGTTCATCATATTATTGATAGTTATCAATCTAGCTTTGATGAATTTTCAGCTTATATTTACCAACCTAGCGGAATGAAAGCAAAACATTTAGAATTTTTTGTGTCTAAAACCTTTATGCAGGAAATTGTGCAAAAACTTGCCAAGGTTCATGTTAGAAAATATACCCGGAGAGGTGTACAACCAAGGAACTTATTTCTTTTCAAATAATATACATATATTACATAATATCCATATTAATAACACTTCCTTTTGTAAATAATTATACATTACATGGAGGTTTTTTTTAATAAAACTCTTATCACTCCTCATATTTATTCAAGCAGAGGTTCATTAACTGCTGCCAGTTTTGAACCACGGCACAGATAATAATGGCTTATCTCTTTTTATAGAACAAATTATAAGCTATTTATGTGTTTTGCTGTTAAGTACACACCTGTGTTATTAACACGTAATTTACTATAAATTTCTTTATCGTAATTCGAATAATCGGTCCGTTAGCGTAGTACAACTTCTCTTTTTTCTTTTGTTGATTATTTTTGTTAAAATTATTTACATTTTTATAATTTTTTTGTGGAGTAAAACGGATAAACAATTTTTTCTTAGAAATTAACATACCTATAAGTAAAACTCCTTTCGGGTTTTTATATAAAATAATACATATTATTATACAGGGTGAGTCGTAATTAGTATAAATAATTTAATCGAAGCTTAGTCAGATTGAAATAGCAGTACTCTTTTAGTGTGACGTCACATATATAGGCAACCCGCAATTCATAGTCATAGTTGAAATTGTACAGACCGAATCTGACCCTTGTGTACTATTTACACAGATACTATAGAAATAGAAAATAGAAACAACTTCAAATGAATTTATTTTTACAAGGATTTAGAAGTATTTAAAAATAACTAACATGTGTTTCGTAAAATAGATACACGCTTAAAATTTTGAAGTTAGAAAAAACGATATAAAAGTTTTCCTAAATTTGAATAAAGTAAAAATTGAACATTAGCCGTGTTATTCCTAAGCGCATTCTCGGAAAGAATAGTCTCATACCCAGGTGAGATCTTGTTGATATGTCATCATTAGGGTGTTTTCTCTTTTTTTGTTTACTTTTGGCATTTTCTAGTTCTACTAAGTATTTTTATTATTTTTCTTGGTGTTGTGCCGTACCATCGTGTTTATCGAGTGTTTTTTTTCAAGTGGTTTATTATAGACGTAATTACTGTTAACCATAACCAAACTTATCTTGAATTATGTCCTGTTGTGAGGCTATTTACATGAAATTATCTTGAATGCGCATGCTCAGCAACATTGATATAATTTTAATTTATTAATTACTATAAAAGTCAATATTTTTCTATAAATTTAAATATATAAATTCTATAATTCTTTTAGTTTGTTACTTGGGGTTAGAAATTTCTTAAATATTTCTGATACTGCCAGAGTGTCTCGATATTGAAGGTCATGATAAAACAGACATTTTTTTGGAACTTTTGTGCAAAGTACAGAAGATCGAAAATGGATCTAGTAAAAATATTGAAAAATTCTTAATAATGTAATATTAATTACAAGAGCAACTAATTTTAATTTTCTATTAGCTATTAGTTATGGTCAGTCAAGTATTTGCAGGTATTTAATTAAACTTCACATTTTTGTCAAGTTGTGTATTTTTTACATAAAAACGTAACACATACATAAGTTTATTGACATTATAGTATTTTTTTGACCTTCTGACAAAACAAGATTTTCGAAATATTTCAAATAAACATCTTAGTTTGTCTCGGAACTATAATATTGGAATTTCAGTTATATTAAAGAATTATTTTATCGATGCCTAATGGTTTCAGATTAACAACGATCCAACAATTCTACCAAACGTAACGCTTAGGCTCAAATGGTACGACACGAGGGGCGATACAGTGGTAGCTACCAAAGGCATGACTGATATGATCTGTGAAGGAGTATCAGCTTTTTTTGGCCCCGAAAGTACTTGCTACGTAGAGGCCATCATTTCACAAGCCAGAAATATCCCTATGATAAGTTATGTAAGTGTGCCAACTCAAATTTTTCAATGTAGGGTTAATGTCGTTACATGTTTTCCAGAAATGTTCTGACTACAAAGCCTCTAAAGTTCCCACATTCGCTCGAACGGAACCCCCTGACACACAGGTAGATACTGCGTTATAAATTAAAAAATCGATACATTTAATTGTTTCTTCCAGGTTACAAAATCTGTAGTTTCTCTTTTAAGTTATTACAAATGGCATAAATTCTCTATAATTTTCGAAAAAGATTGGGAAACTGTGGCCACTTCCCTAAAGGAAGAGGCACTGAATAAGAGCATGACGATAAATTACCAGAAAATGGTAATGGAACGTAACGTATGTTGCGCGGAGAATTTAAGATGTTGCCAGATAGGCGACATGCAAGAATTCATACAGGATACTAAGAATAGGACGAGGAGTAAGTTGATGAACATTTTAAAAACAGTTTTCATTAGCTTCTTATTTTAGTTTATGTATTTTTGGGCACAAGAACGTCTTTGGTAGAACTTATGAACATAATGCAAAGCGCACGGATGTTCGAAAATGGTGAATACATGGTCATTTTTGTCGATATGAGTGCTTATTCTGAACAAGACGTACACAGATACTTGTGGAGTAAGTTAAATACTATTCTTTAAATGTCTTCGTCGTTCTCAGTTGCTCACATGAGTGTATTTCTTCTAGAACTTGAAGTTATAAATCAGTACAAAAGGTGTGAAGACATACCAGGCTCAGAGGCATTTAAGAAACGAGCAAAATCATTATTTGTAGTGGCTCCAACTGCTCCTACAGCAAATTATAAAAGTTTTACTGAAAAAGTACAAAGCTACAATTCTAAGGAACCTTTTAATTTCTCGGTGTCTAATGTCTTTTTAAGTTCCTATGAAAAAGTGAGTAAGACATTTGATGCTTAATTAATTTCACATTTAAAACTGTTCGATAGTGTCCAACCGAAACTGAAATCAAATTTCGGTTTCTGTTTCAGTTTCGGCCGAAACCGAAACTTCCTTTTCAGGTAATTCTTTTGTATGTGTTAAGTTTCTGAAGGTTGTTCCGAAACTGAAACTGAAAGTTCGGTCAGACACTACAATTTGATAACCAATTATTTTTATAAACACATTATTTTCAGTATGTACCTATCCATGCCGCCTATCTATTTGACTCGGTAAAGCTATATGCTTCAGCCCTCCATTATCTGTTAATGAAAGAGCCTATTTTAACTGACAAGGTTATAACAGACATATCAAGCAATGGAACGAAGATCATAGAAACAATTATTAAAATAAACGGAACATACAAAAGTAAACTGTTCAAATTTATTGAAACGGTGAGTTATTACTTGCAATATTTCTAGGTGTCACTGGGGCTATGATGAAATTAGATAAGAACGGCGACTCCGAGGGAAATTTTTCGGTCCTCGCCTATAGAGAATCCCCAGTCTCACATGGTCGCAATTTTTCCTGCGGATATCAAATGAGGCCTGTCGGGCAGTTCTATCAAACTCCAACTGAGTTACCTGTAAGTAAGTTTTTTGTACTTTCATAAAAGTTGTTAGGATTAACTGAAACCTTGATAGTAAATTAGCGTTTATTTTATTTTATTTTTATTCGAAAAAATTCCTATCCGCGAGATCCTTGTAAAATGGTCTAAAGGAACATAATACAAGACGTCTCTCATCTCGTGAGTCAAAAAATTTTATTAGTTAATTTTTCTATTTAAATAAGTGAGGAAAACAGTTTTTTCACTTTGCAGGGAAAACCATCAATTTTAGCGAGAACTGACTCTGAGACAGCTCGTAGGGAATAAAATTATCTACAAAATGAGACTTGTTAAATTAAATTCGGTTAATAAACAAAAAAGTTATTACAAAATACAAGAAATGTGCCCATTTTTTAATTTGTTTATAACTATCGCATTTATTGTTAAAATTTTATAAAACCCATGATAAGTTGAGGGTTTTGTCATACTTTAAAAGTGTGCCAAAAGTGGGCGCTGCAGGTGCAATAGTTTTCGCACAATTCAATTTGTTTATAACGGAGACTCCAAAAGTTATGAATTTTAAGCTTAAACCTCTGTACAGGCGTTAATTTTCAACCAAACATGATTCTGAAAGCGTCATTGTAATCTTAAAGACGTAATTAAGCGACCTATTAAAAAATATCACCATTTTTTTTGACATTAACATTCTCAAATTGTGTATTAAAAAACCATGCGTTTTTCGCTTATAAACAATTTGAATAAAATTGTTACTGTTTATGCTACCTCACCGAAAATAGATGCAATGGATAGCTGGCAAAAAATACAAATTTTTTAAAAAAAGTACCCTCTACGACCAACAGAAGCCAAGATAATATATTTTTTTTTAAATCGTAGCGCAATTGTTTATAAACATTAAGACTTGAATTTTTCGCAAAATAAAGTTTACGACGTAAATTATGATTTCTCGTGAATTGCATTGAAAAATGTGGAAAATTAACGACTCACGAGCCCTTTAAAGAGAAGGTACTCGCTAAGTAAACTGTCCGGCGGCTTGGTGATGGGGGAAGCTCTTCCAAGCGAGTCGCACGCGCGAGAAAAGTGAAGTTCAAATTGATGCGCGCTGTAAATTTTGCAATATCTCGGCTTCTATTTATCATAGAACCTTATTTTTTTTTAAACTGGGGTAGCTCGACGAAAAAATAACAATGGGCATATATACGAATTCGTAGAATAGCCCTGAACCCCAGAAAAAATGCTTCTTTTATACTTAATTTTTTTTAATTTACAAAAATGTTACAAAAATTGTTGTTAAACGAAATATTAATTAAAATTTTAATTTCGGAATTATTTTACTATTATTAAATAAATAAATAAATCTATCGTTAATTTAAAAAGTTATTTTTTTATATATTAAGCCAAAATATACTAATTTTTTCAATATTTCAATTACAATTTAAATGTAAAATTAAAGTAAAAATTCACAAATTATTTTCAATTTATAGGTTTTATAAAATTTTAACAATAAATGCGATAGTTATAAACAAATTAAAAAATGGGCACTTTTCTTGTTTTTTTTGCAATAACTTTTTCGTTTATTAACCGATTTTAATTTAACATGTCTCATTTTGTTTCGCTAAAATTGATGGTTTTCCCTACAAAGTGAAAAAACTGCTTTTCTCACTTATTTGTTTAAATCGAAAAGTTAGCTAATAAAAGTTTTTGACTCACGAGACGAGAGATGTCTTGTATTACGTTCCTTTAGACAATTTTACAATAATATTGCGGATAGGAATTTTTTCGAGTTTCTCTTTTTTTTCGCTAATTTTCCTGGTCTACTAAGACATACAAAGAGGCCAAAAACGGCAGAAAGCAAATTTGAAGTGACAATATTGCAACTTTATTTGTGCGTTTTTTAGCAATACGACATAAACGCAAACACCCAGATTTTCTGGCCCGGGAGCAATCGGCCTAACGACGAACCTAGTTGCGGATTTTTCAACGAACTTTGTCCCAAACCCAACACTCACCTCAACAGTATTATCGCTGCGGGTGTATTAGCCATAATGCTGTTTTGTGCAGGGGTGATTACGATGAGTATATACAGGAAATGGAAAATAGAGCAGGAAATAGAAGGGCTCCTGTGGAAGATAAATAGGGAAGAAATCCAAAGTTACTTTGAAAGGGACATCATATCTAGCCCCAGTCGGGTAAGGTGAGACAACAGTGTGAAGTAATAGGGATTAAACGTGTTCTTCTTTAGCTTAGTTTAGCCAGCGCTAGCGTCACGTCTTACGAATCTAGAGGAGGGCTGCAGGTGTTCGCTACTACCGCTCAGTACAGGGGGGTGGTGGTGCGTATAAAGGAACTTACGTTTTCTCGAAAAAAAGACATTTCCCGTGAAGTCATGAAGGAGATGCGGTTACTGAGGGAGTTGCGCCACGATAACGTCAACTCTTTCATCGGAGCTTGTGTCCAACCCACCTCATTGTTTCTAGTCACCGACTACTGTGCCAAAGGAAGCTTATATGTTAGTACATGAGACACTTTTTGGTTTAATGATGAATAATCGTGTATTTTTTTTAGGATATTATAGAAAACGAGGATATTAAACTAGATAAAATGTTTGTTGCTTCGTTAGTTCATGATCTCATCAAGGTAGAGTCGAAGTCATATTACTATATCTGTTTAATTGCGCTTGTTTTTCAGGGCATGTTGTATATACACAACTCAATGCTGGTGTGCCATGGTAATTTAAAATCCTCAAACTGTGTAGTTACGAGTCGTTGGGTGCTTCAGGTTACTGATTTTGGTCTAGCCGAGATGCGTCATTGCGCCGAGAACGACAGCATAGGTGAACACCAGTATTTTAGAAGTAAGTGGTACTGTTATCAGACCTAATCCTAGATATGACTTCGATTTTATAATTTTACTGTAGTAACATGTACTTTAGTTAAGAAAATTTTAGGTTTGTTTTGGAAGGCGCCGGAAATTTTGCGAAATCCAAGCGCATACATTAAAGGAACGCAGAAGGGTGATGTTTATGCTTTTGCCATAATTCTATTTGAAATATTAGGAAGGAAGGGTCCCTTTGGAACGACAGGATACGAACCAAAAGGTAAATTGGTTTAAATATCTAATGTACAGCTGCGGACAATAAAGTGTCTCCAGGCTAAGCTGCTTAATGTCCACTTTAAAAAGGAATTTTACTATTAACGGTTTTAGGTTGGAAATTTTGTTGTCCGCAGCTGTATCTAGTTCACTTTGTTCAATTTCTCAATTTTTTCGTATTTTTTTTTATAATAATTTTTGTTAATTAGTTTTTATTAACATTTTCACAAACTATATAATTTTTATTTGGGTTTTTTGTTGTCTTTATTATAATGTTGTTTTATTTTTTGAGGTATTTTGCAATTGTTTCTTCAGATTTAATTAAGTCAAGTAATGAAGGATGTAACAATTCCAGATAAAGGTATTTTGACAACAATTCTTAATTTTCTGCTTAATATTTAATAAGCTTTTTTGCATCTAATGCAGCGAAAGAAATAGAGTTGTGTAATTCTAGAAATCTATCTGTGACGGGCTGGTGAAAATTAAAGTGATCATATTTTGACAATGGGACCGTATAATTTTCACGGGATCATTTCTAGTCCCACATAGAGTGAGCTTTCTTGTTGAAAAGTGAACATATTACTGATAAATCCATCTCCAAATGACCTTATAGGGACTTTCGATATCGCTGTTCATAAATCGCAAGTTATTTTCAGTCGATTCAAGATGACAATTTTTATATAACTTCTTAGCAAGCCATGAATCACAAAACTTTTATTCAAACAAATTTTGAGTTGATTTTACAGACAAGACAAGTCAGACTAGTCATTTCCTATGTTTTCGAAGTTGCTGAATCGTAAATTGAAGTCAAATCGATAATATCGTATCACTTTCCATTCCTAACCTTAAAAAAAAAAATTTTTAAATTATCAGGACTAGCCTCATAATTCTTATGTTTATGAATTCGCTGAATTGTAATTTTAAATCGATTCAATAATACAATGTCATGTTATTATGTTATTTATTTTTTGATTTGTATGAAAATAAACGCTTCTATTCTCTAATCTTTAAAAAAAATGAAAAAATCAAAATTTTTTATTGCCAAATCGTAATTTAAAGTCATTTCGATAATCACATTCTGATCCTTGGATTAAAAAAAATTCAAAAATGGCAATTTTTTATTCATACTATGGATTTAATCTTAAAAGAGCATTTTTTTTCATTATATTACATATATTTTGCCGTATATGTGCAACTCTTTTCAAAATCTTGGTTCGATGTCAAACACCTTTTTTCACTTTTGTATTTTGCATATTTCAATTGAAACTTTTTACTGCGATGTTCTCTATATGGACCTAAAAAGTAGAATGTCCCCATAATCAAAATAAGAGCAATATAATTTTCATCATTCGTCAGTGAAATATTTACGAGGCGTTTAGAAAAATAGAATAGAAACTTTGAGAGTTGACAATACGTATCAGAATAATAGAAACAGTTAATATCTTAGAAAGGTAAATTAGAAAGTTGACTTTTATTTCGCCACAACTGGTAACAAAATGTATTTTTCCTTTTTCATTTAACATTTCCCAACTTTCAAAAATATAAAAGTTATGATGAAAAACACCCATCACAATTGCCTAAATTTTAAAAATGTTTCATTAGTAGTTGGAGCACTTTTAAATGGACTTTTTCTCTTATTTCGATAAGTATTTTCATGTCTTGAAATTTCTTACATAATTTTTTTAACACCCATATTTTCCTAAGTTTATTTATAACAACAGCCCCACAAAAAAAGTGAAATATCCGAAAGACAAGACCCTGGTATCTATATGTTTTTGGGATCGCTGAATCCGAATCCGGTGTCCGTTTGACTCGATTAGCTCTGGTTGAAGGTCACTTGTAGGTCAAATGTAGCGAATCAATTGCCAATAAAGTAACCATACATAAGAGTATCTATACGTTTTTAGGGTCGATAAATCTGAATAAAATGTATGTTTGATCCGGTTAGCTCTGCATTAAGGGCAGTTCAAGGTCAAATGTAGAGAATCGATTGCGCACAAAGTAAACCTACATATCTATATGTTTTTGGGGTCGGTGAATCCAAATCCGGTATCTGTTTGATCCCATCAGGTCTTTTATGGTATCGAACTATTTTGCTGTCAAAAGGTCTGAGAAGTGTATGAAAAGAAGTACTCAAATTTTAATACGTATAAATGCTTGAGCGTTTTGAGTTTAGAACTTGAGGCTTCAGCTTCAGCCACTCAAAAACTTATAAACATATTAGTTTACATTATTGGCAATTGATTCCCTACACTTGACCTTGAACTGACTTTAAACCAGATCTGATTTTGTCAAACGGACACCGGATTCGGAGTCAGCAACCTTAAACACATTCAGACATATGGGTTTACTTTGTTGGCAATTAATTCTATACATTTGACCTTGAGCTGACCTTCAACCAGAGTAATCGCGTCAAACGTACCCCGAATTCGGATTCAGCGACCCCAAAAATGTATAGATATATTGGTTTATTTTGTTGGCAATTGATTCTCTACATTTGACCTTGAACTGACCTTAACCCAGAGCTAATCGGGTCAAACAGATACCGGATTCGGATTCATCGAACTCAAAAACGTATAGATATATTGGTTTTCTTTATTGACAATTGATTCTCTATATCTGACCTTGAACTGACTTTAACCCAGAGCTAATCGGATTAAACGGACACCGAATTCAGAGACCCCAAAAACATATAGATACCAGGATCTTGTCTTTGGGATATTCCATTTTTTTTGTTGGGATGTTGCAATTGCAATATTTAGTATTGCAGAAGCTCTGCTTAAAAATTTCAAGACTTTGTGTCTTAAATATTTCAAGTTGGATTTTTAAGATATCGCAATACGAATTGTTACAGACATAATAGAACTAGTAAAGAAGATCCCGCTGGACGGGGAAGAACCATTCAGGCCTGACATAGACGTGCTACTTGATTCGGAACTAGGCTGTGATGAATACGTTTTGCAATGTATGAAGGATTGCTGGGCGGAAAACCCAGACCTCAGGCCAGATTTTGCCAGTATACGTAGTAGACTAAAGAGAATGAAAGATGGAAAGTAAGTACAATATTTACCGTCTCTGTTCCATTGAAAAAGAAAAAAGTCACTGAGAATGTGTTTTTTTTTAGGAATAAAAACATTATGGACCAAATGATGGATATGATGGTTACATACGCCAATAATTTAGAGGAACTTGTTAATGAGAGGACAAGGCTGCTTTATGAGGAAAAAATGAAAACGGAGGACCTTCTTCATAGAATGCTACCAAAGTATGGTTGCATATAATGAAACGTATTAAAATTTATACGATTTTTCTCTTCAGGCCTGTTGCAGAGAAGCTGACGCGGGGGCATGGAGTCGAACCGGAATCGTTCGACTTGGTAACCATATATTTCAGTGACATTGTAGGTTTTACTTCAATGTCCGCAGAGAGTACACCGTTGCAAGTAGTTAATTTTCTTAATGATCTCTATACAGTATTCGACGGAATTATTAAAGGCTACGACGTTTACAAGGTTGAAACCATCGGTGACGCTTATATGGTGGTAAGTAGTAAGTCAGAAATATAATTTTTTAAAGAATATACGGAGCATTATTACTTACTCGAATCTTGAATCATAATACAAATGTTGTTCACCAGAAATTAAAACGATGTTCATCAACTCCGAGTTGCTCTACACGCAAGCCATTTTTGACACTTCCACTAAAAAATATTGTAAACACTATTGCAATGATGATTGTAAAATCGATTGCTATCGGTAAAATGAGTCGCTGAGGCCACGTGGCTCTCCACACATATTGCGAATGACCCTAGAGACTACAGTTGTCCAGCGGTGTAATGTTTGAAAGTTCTACAACTTCAATAATTTTTTTCTCGGAAACTATATTTTTACGATATTGACTCCCATTTCTCATGCCGCATCTATTCCCAAATTTTTTTGGATAAGTTGTGAATCACCCAGTATAAATTAAACACAGTGCTTTAAAAAGATAACAAATTCTGTTTTTTAATAACTTGAATTAATGTTATTTATTTTTTATATACAGGGTGTTTCATTTCCGGTGTGCCAAACGAACACAGATGATAGAGAAAGTAATTTTGAGCAAAAAGTTCATAACGACATATGTCCTAAAACGCTCCCCTATGGCGCTACGCCCCTTTAAAGGGGGCCATTAAGACACAATTTTATTACAATATCTCGAAAATGCTTCGAAATAAATTGATAAAATTTTATACTGAGGTACACCCTTTATAGTTCTCCTCAATTTTTTTTTTTAAAGGTCTACGCTTCGTTTATGGTGACTTTAAAATAACACGATGAAAAATCATGCAAAATAATGCAATAATTTGACTGTATATTATGATTTTAAAAAATTATTTCCCATTTATATTCTGGAGAATACACACTATTACTCCTGAACCCAATTGAATCCTACTTGAAGTTATACCCCATATTTTAAGATGGAATTATTTCGATTATATGAGTTGAAATTATTCTTAGGAAAGATTGCCACAACCATTTAAAGTTTTGGCAGGACAGTCTCTTCTTTACAAATATGCTAGAGCCACTTTGATATTATTATTATTATTATATTGTTCACTGTTTGATGAGCCATTATTTGATGTTTTAATATCATCTTCAGTTTTTTATCCTTGAGAAAATGAAAATTCAATTTTTTTATGAGTTTTTCTTGCACTGCAACAGCAACCAACTTTTTAATTTCCTACTACTCTGGATGTTAAAATTAAAATGTTGCTTATACTTTTTCCAAGGCAGTTAAAGAAAAAAAAATTTACATAAACGAAATGTTTTCCATGAGTGATTTTAAATTCATGCGTAAATGTCTCCACTTCTACTATTCTGTCTAATATCAATCTTCTCGTATCACTTCTGCTTTCATTTTAATTCCATTAACTTTAATTATATAAAATATACTCAGACAATCAATCTCATTTAGATTTTAAACCATAAATCCTTGCTTAAATGTATGTACTCTGATATATAGTGTTTACGAAAATAGTTGAAACCGTATAAAACTATCTTCGTAAACACTATACTATGAACAAGGGTGACAGGGATTTTATGAGAGTGTCGCCATCTAGTACTTTAATTTCTAAATTTAATTAAATTACTTCACTTAAGGTAAAAGAGACCACTGTATATGACTTAACCTCACAAAATACACCTGATTTTAATCTCGTTGTTTGGTGGTGTTGAATCATGCACAAACTAAAAAATTTGACAAACCCTTAGGTGTCTGGTTTACCCATCAGAAATGGTGATAGGCATGCTGGTGAAATAGCGTCCATGGCATTAGACTTACTAGCTGCTGTGAAGAATCATTCCATAGCTCACCGACCTAACGAAACGCTTAAACTTAGAATCGGCATCCACACAGGTACGAAACGTGACACAATTTTTACTTTTCCGCCTCTTAACGCATCAACATTTTTCAGGACCAGTCGTGGCGGGCGTGGTAGGACTAACCATGCCACGTTACTGCCTCTTTGGCGACACAGTAAACACGGCCTCTCGGATGGAGAGCAACGGGGAGCCCCTGAAAATCCACATCAGTTTCCAGTGCAAGGAGGCTCTGGATAAGTTAGGTGGCTACATTATAGAAGAAAGAGGCATAGTCTGTATGAAGGGTAAGGGTGACGTTAGGACTTATTGGTTAACCGGAGCTACGGATCAAGCAATTCAGAAGAGAGAAGTGGACCTCGGAGAGTTGCCGCCGTTGTTCTGCCGGCCTAGGCGAAGTCCCAAGCTGAATGCCGATTCTCGGCAAGCTTCCGTGTGTGGCGGGTTCGGTGGGATGCATAGTAGGAGACACTCCAGTGTACCGAGAGGTAAGTGAATGATGATGATGGAATTTATCCCGCTAACTTGAAATTACCTTATGAAAATGTTTTTAACAAATTGTGGTTGGTTACTCATAATATTAAAAATCGATTTTCTGTTACTTTTCCCATTCCCGTTACCTAGGAGACGTACCTATTCGAGAATGTATCAATAATTAATTGTTCCTATCTCCCAATGCAAAATAAACAGTGTAGGGTTCCTAAATGATGGGAACGGGAACGGCAATGGAAAAAGTTTATATACAGACCATTATTTTGAGCAGTTTAGCGGTTTATTGGTTACGAATTTGTATCTAACATAATTAATTACAATATAAACTTATTCATATTAGTAACAATGTTGCAAGGGTTTATGTGTTTTAATGGAAGAAACATTGCCCTAAATATTTCTTTAATAAGGAATGTATAATGTATACAAGGTGTGAGAAGTTTGACTGACATTACTTCAGCATGAGATAGAGTAATCATAAATGAACAAAAAAGTTGTATATTATAGGAGCGTAAGATTAACAGATTTTAAAATAATAATTAATATTTCATCACATCGTGACAACAGCACTTAACCTGCTGATGCACACCACTTGTCCTATGGAAAAAATGTAAACAACTATTATTGTGAAACATTTACTAAATTTCAAGACAATTGCTTTCCAGTTTTTAAATAAATAAAATAAAATGTATCGATTTTATAGTACGAAGATAGTGGGAACATAACTTTTAATCAAATCAGTGGCGAATCCAGGGGGGGCTATGGGGCTGCTCCCCCCCCCCCCCCCCAAACACAAACCGAGATACTTTTTTTTGGAGTATCACTTTACCTGTTTGGTATCTACAAGTAGCTCATGAAACAAATGATTTTGATCTATTGGTCAAATTTTATGAGAATGACCTATTTGAAAATGGTGCTCTTATCAATACTGAACATGAACGTGCTGAATTTCCGAACATACACGAGCTTCTTAGAATAGTTGCAACCAGTGACAACAGCAGCTGCAGAAAGGAGCTACAGTACCTTGAGAAGATTACAGACGTACTTGAGAAATACGACTGGGGAAAATAAACTCACCTCTTTGGCCCTTATGAACATACAATAGGCACAGAAATTAAGGGATATTAAAAAGAATCCCAAAATTTTGGATGATTTTCAAAGAGCTGTAACTTGGAGGGAAATGGTCGTAGAGAAAAAAAAAAAAGAAATTGAAGCTTCAAGTGTCTAGTTTTCGGATCTGGAGTTTAAATTTTTCTAGCGTCGGCAGTTTTTGAGTAATCATAAGAAAATCAACAAAAAAAAAATTGCAAATTTTTGCTTTTCTTTAAAAAGGCCTATGAAAATTCTTTTCGGTTATTTTATCATAAAGCTCTTTTAGATAATTTAATTCTCTTCAATTTGAGCGGTTCCGGAGCCTTGTATGATTTTTCGTCGCTCAAAGTAAAAAAATCACTTTTGACTTTGGTAATCAATTACTCGGAAAATAATGGTTGTACAGAAAATCCAAGCAGGGTTTTGAAAACTGCAAAGTATTCTCTACAAGTCGTAATTATTGGTTTTTAATGACTTTTGATTCACGTCGTCCAAATAATCATACATATTAAAAATAATTTAGGCACTTACCAAAAAGCTCAAAATGTCCACCACCATTTTCGATGCACATATGACACCTTCAAATCAAATTTTCGCGCACTCGTTGGAAAACACTCCAAGAAAAGGAAATAGTGGTATGCAAAAAACACTCCGACATGGTCAAATCCAGATACCAACTGAATTGCGTATTGGTGGTTGCTGGACACCTTAATACCTCGTGTTAATAAACTGCAGCGCCGTGGTCACATTGCTCGATATGAATTTTATCGAATTTTACATTTATTACAATGCTAATTATTTTTTAGAATTAAGCATAAAGACGTTAAAAAAAGTGATACATTGTATTTTATGGTATTCTATACACGCAGTTATATCAATATTCCTTAATTAATCGAACTGTTGTACAAGTTGAAGATTTTGATAATGTTTTTCTCGGAAATGGTCGAGTTTAGGACCCATGTCATCTAAGGTTTTTTTGTTTATTTTAATGTATTCTATTGTCGGTTAAAATTAAGGCAGTCAAACTTCTAACACCCTGTATACAAGCTGTTCTGTATACGAATTGACACAGGAGTAGGTGCATATAAGCTTCTATTTATATATTGACATGTCAGTGCATGTCATAAGCGTATAAGTGGGAATGACATAATAAATAAAATGAGAAAATTCTCATTTTAATTATTCCAATAAAAAAAAATATTTATTAATTTCCATATTCTGCAAATTATGAAGAGTACATTTCTATCAAGTTCATCTAATTTCGTACTTTGCAAAGCATTATTTAATTTTTAATAACAAATCAATGAAAATATGACCGTTAGGCCGCTCGTAAACGACAGTTTTTTAACCGTTTATAAGCCCGGTGAATCCACCGTAGACACATACGGCGACCGCGGTCACCCGGTGTGTGAACATACTTCCATAACAATCAATATCCCCCGATCGATCGTATTTACCTACGGTGCATTTACCGGGCTTATAAACGGTTAAAAAACCGTCGTTTACAAGCGGCCTAAAAGCTTAGAGATGAGGGTATGTTTTCCCATTATAGTAAATGTAAATACAACAGTCTACTTTGTCAAATGGTGACAGAAGTACCACCATTCCAAATTTCATTTAAAGTGTTTTAAACATATTTCAAATTTTGGCGACCCCTAAATGAAACAACTTAGTATGGAAGTATGCTTCGTTAAAACACCATATTTTAGAGCCGCTACATGTATCTCCTCTGTGTCGGTTCTTATGCGGAACATACTGTATATTATTTATGCACTTTAATGCACTGACCCACGTTTTTTTAATGTTTTTTTAGTTGATTTGCTTTCTTTTTTTTATATACTTGAAAACTTTTGTTTGGTGATGGTTTTCCTTACTAATTTGCTTATTGGTGATTAGAAAAATTTTGTTTTATTTATTTTAATTATATTTATGTTTAAGCTTTTTTTTAATTAGTTTATATCACACTTTTTTATTTTTTAAATAATTGATCCGCCACTTAGTATTCTTATCTAAGATGTATAAAAGGGATTAATGTTTTGCACAATAAATGAAATAATATCTTTAAATTTTTAATGACGATAACTTTTAAATTTAGGACAAACTAATATATCACGATTTTGGCACCCTATAATAAAAAAATGGAATTAGAGTTAAATCTCCGTAAAAATTTTGTTTAAATCAGTGATCTGTTATGATATGAACGTAATTCTCAAAATTGAAAAAACCTGTCGTTAAAAGCGAGGACCATCCGCCATAACAAAATTTTTATTAATCAGGTACAAGTATAGAAGTCGAAAGCACATCGACCATTCAGAACGCGAGCCCAATTCCGAGTCGCCACCTCCTGAAAGTAAATCGTCACAATTTGCATGTTCCAGACCCGGGCGGGTCTAAGCTCACTATAAACACAGCGTTCGGTAGCCAGATCTTGGAGGCGCCGGAGGACACTAGAAGAACAGTACGTACCAGGCGGATCTTGTCTAGTATAGCCTCCAGTTCCGACGAACATAGCAAAAGTCAGGGTATGTTGAACAGGATTCGGGAATCGAAGTCTCTAGATCCCCTGCCAATAGCCAAGCACGCTCAAGCGCTGAATCTAATCGATAGATACCTGAAGGGTCCAACTCGTTCCACGAGGTCGTTGGAGAATTGTGATAAGTGCGGTGAAATACAAATAATAGCCATACCCGACGATAAACTTATGAATAATAATTTCCCGAACGGGAATTTGGTGAATATACCTCCCGACGATACTAATAATTACATAGAAGATGTTCAGGTGCCATTGCTAAACACTACGGAGAATCCGGCGATTATACGAAGACGAGGTGGGAGTGCTGTCGATGATCTACCCGAAAGTGAGTTCTCGAAAAGGTAGGGCGTCAAATATTTTTCATGTATTCACTTGAGTATTGAGGTTATCCCATTGGGTATAGTCGTTACGATATCAGTTGGAACCGCATAAAAACATTTAACTCATAAACTCGATGGAATCCATAGGCGTTGAGAAAAATTTTGTCCTGTCTCGTCTAGATGTACTATATTCCGAGCTATATTCCTATTTAGTTGACGATATTCTCTAATTTTTTGTAAATAATCATCCCAGTGTAACTATACGTCGTGATTCCATAATTACCATACGATTGTCAAGTTTTTTATGTTTAAAATCGCATTGTAATAAAACATGTCGTAAAGTATCTAAAGATTTATAATTATAATCAGGATAATCGCTTAATTTATCTCGAATCATGTTTAAAGTAGGAACTTTATTTTCTTTATGCATATTATAAATTACGCAATGTCGTTTTTTATATCTTACAATTAGTTGATCGCTAATCCGTTTCCTAATTTCTTTACACATTGTCCTCTATTTTCTCTTTTCAAACATTTAAAATAATACATTCACTTTGTACGTGTAAATCTTTGTTTTTAAACTCTTGAATTTGTTTCGACGCTTTCGACAAAAACCGACTCGACTCGACTATTTGGAGATTTTCCCGGGTTATTTCGTTATCATCCGTTTCCAAGGGTCTCCAGAAAACCATACTAAATTACTAGATAATTACATATAATATTTATTTTAATAACTATTACCCTTTACTGGTTACGATATGAACAAATAATGTTAACTAATAATTAATAATATGTATTATACCAACAATAAATATACCACGCTAAGCACTGCTCGCCCAAAGCTATTCGAGTATAAATTACGAGACATATCATGGCGAAAGCATAGGATGAAATTTCAAGAGAAGTGCAGACGATTCTTCAAGATTCACAGGCTCCAATTGATATCGTAACAACTATAAAACGGACATTTGTCATTTGTGTGGGGTCTCAACACGGAGCTTGAACTATTTTTGCATGAGGGTTATATTTATACAAGTTTCCTTTCTTAAATTATGTTGTGAAAACTGATTTTTTTACATTTTTTTGTAACCTCAAATAACCACGCATGCATGCTAGTTGGGTGTTATGACATGCATTGTTGTCAAATTTCATCTTACTTGATTCGTATACATGTTTATTTGACTAAAGTTCACAAGACTTTTCACAACTTTAAAAATAAACTGCCACCCTTTCCAAGGCATTTAAATAATATTACAAGAATCAACATAAAAACGGGAAGTAATGTTCAATGCACTGAAAATGGCTGTTGTCTCAATTTTTCTCTATTTTCTGTATATTGATAGAAAAATGCAAAAAAATAGTGATGTAGAAATTCTTCTCCATAGTTGTAAATACAGCGGTTTTATAAGGACAGTGGTGAGAATAGACGTTTAAGCTTCTCTCGTTGTGCTATTATTAAGTGTTTATTTGAATTAACTTAAGGGATAAAATTCTAAAATAAAGTTTTTAATTGAAAGAAAAGCAAGAGGATAACAATATTCACGGATGTTATTAACCATGTCTTTAAATGTTCAAAAATATATATTTATTCATAAATAGTACAAAATGGCGATTGTGAAGCCATTCTCACAATGCATGTTAGCATGAGGTGCCCTGTCGCACGAAGTATAACTGACGTTAATTTGCATATGGAAAAAAAACAAAAAATTTTCTCTAATCTACACGAGTATGGTTAGAGAAATACATAGGGGATTTTGAAAACATTAATTTTTGTATGATTTGCCAGCATTTGATGAAAAAAATGGGCAATCATTTGTCAATAAATAATATTAAAACGAACTTATTAAAAGTTCCGTACATACTTTTATTTGGAATGGTATTTTAAAGATATGGTGAAAATTGTTGGAATTATGCTGTATAACATTTAAAGAAATCATGTTTTGAGGAAAACACCTTTAATTTTTGAGATATACGCTATACCAAGGGTCGGCAAGTAATTTTAGGTGGGGTCCGGACACTTCTGAAAATTTTTAACGAGGTCCAGAAAAAAATTCATATTTTAATTTGCACTCAAATTTAATCTGCTTACTAATCATTAAGAACTCAAATCAGTCATACAATTGTAAAATACTAGAAAAAAATGATAAGTGTCACACTTGAAGGTAAAAAAATATTTTTAAAATAATTTATTTGAGTAATTTATATTTTCAAAAAATTTTTGACGGTCCAGTATTTTACCTTTCGTCTGCCAGTTGCCGACCGCTGCGCTATACTAATGTACTTTCATTTGAAAATGCTTCTAATTGGACACAAACTGCTTCTAACGACGTCTGTTAGTATTAACGACATCTGTTAGTAGTATTTTCCAACAAGTATCTATGTGCTGCATCATAGTTTCATAAATACTGGTGGGTGAGACAACTGAGAAACAATTTAGCTATTGGGATGTCTATCTACCCACACGTTTTGGATGTGGGTGAGATATAACCACCAAAGTGTATGTCATCTCTCAAGCCGCTGGCTACATGCCTTGTCAATCAAAATGCTGCTACACCATTGCCACACTGTCCTTTATAAAGCTATTGTAGCTGTAAAAAGTTTGTGAAGCAGTAACTTATCAATAAGGAATCTAACTTTCTATAGGGCCAGTAGGGCTAAAATTTGGATAGAATAATCAGCAAAAGTCTTTTTCGAATTAAGTTAATATTGAAGTATAATATTTAGAAATCTGTACCCTTTAATTATCAAAAATGGTACCTTCAGCGATTTTCTTAGGGATTTTGGGCCGTGTAATCCAGTTATAGTTTGTTACTTATCTTCTAGATGGCGTTCTTTAGAGGCAGTGCCAGCATCTTGCGATCAGTTATCGGACGTGCAAAGCAAAAAATCGATTCCACGACATTCTTTGAAGAACTTTTTGGTTGGGCTGTTTAATGGTAACGGATTGAAATCTAGCAACTTGCAACAGGAAAAGGAAAGTATTGTCTAAGTCAATATAAAGTGTTAGATGTATAAAATATTATTACAAAAAAAAAAATTAGTTTGAACCATTACAGTAAATCTAAAGTAAATGAGATATAACTAGTCTAAGTATAGAAGAAAACATATAAGAATTATCAAACCCTTTTACAAATAGAAGCTATATTTTTCGAAATTAAATTATTTTTTTATAGAAAAATTAGCATATTTTCTAAGCCTTTTCTGACTATAAGCATGTGTACAGATATGCATTTATGATTTTTAACTTTGTGATTGAAGGGAACTCCTGCATCTACTTAAAAGACAACGTAAATCAATACATTTTTCCCCAAGTGTATATTTCTTACCTTTTCAAGAAAAGTGTTCGTAACTGTTCGTACTGAGCTAAAATTCTGTCAGAAATAACATAAGTTTATATATATTTTATTATTTGGGCTCACCCTGTAAAGTTATTAGCTCGTGAAGTTGAGAGTTGAAAATAGATTTTTAGTTGCTATTTACAGTTATTTCTATTAATGCGAATGTCCTCACGAAAGTAGTTATCGTTAAATTGAACACTTCAGTAGAAATAGCATAAAATAATATAGCTTTCACCTAAAAATTATTCAAATTTAATGAGAAACAAAAAATCGATTTACAACTCTCAACTTGAAGTCCTGCAAAGTCTAGGAAAAAATTCTGCGGGTAAGAAGTGTTCATTTTTAAGTTTTAGGCAAATTATGCTGGCGTTGTGCAAATTGTAACAAGAGATTATAATTTTCAAAAAATTCGTTATTTTTGAGCATCTCTGAAATTTTTTGTGATTAATCAATTTTGTTTAATTAGTACATAACATTTGCAGGAGCTACCTTAAGAGAATCGGTGAGAATGCGGAGTATTGTCTCCGGATTTCGCAAACCCTAATTCTGCTATAAAGTAAATGTGACTATATAACCATATCAAACCTATGCTAAATTTGAACAAGAATAAGTAGATGTTACGTTAAGGTAAATATTAGACAGTAGGAAAGATTAAAATGAATGGAAATATTGGCATTTCATATCATGTAAATAAACTAAATAATTGTGAAAGTGTTTTTTCAGATCTTCAAAAGATTATATTTGTAGTTTAGGGATGTATACAAAAATGTGCAAGAACAATTTTCTTTAAACCTTTCAAAAGCAGTCTCTTTATTATTGTACATTATTTATTTTTTCAGCCTATTATAATACATTTTTGTATACTTGAGTGTTACCATTTTAAAAATAATGAACGTGAACGTTTTATGAAAATATTGTGATTATTTTTTATATTGTGTAAATTTTAATTTTGCTGCCCTAAATGTTATTTATTTAAAAACCCACAATACGGCGTGTAAATGTATTTTACAGTTTCTCCGATTTTTTTTTTTTTTATTAATAGATAATACAGCAGCATAGGCATATATTTAGGATTGATCAGACCATTTTTCTGTGTTTTAAGAAGGTTTTAAGTCAGAATTGTGTTTGAGGCTGTGAATATTATCTCCAATTGTATATAAAATAGTCTATTATTTTTATTTTCGGAAGAATTATCTTCGCACTATAAAAATAGATGTGCCATTAACTTATAAAGTTTATGTATATTAAAATAATTCATATGTAAATATGTTATTGTAGGTATTGTTTGATAAATATACATATTTATTTATTAAATGTCTGCTTGATTTAATTCGGTTTCAGGTAAGCCTGCCATACGTCCCGTAAAATACGGGACAGTCCCTCATTTCGAGTTATATGTCCGGCATCCCCAAATCTTTTGTCGGGATTTACGAAAGTTCCATATATTGTTAAAGGTTCTTTAGTCAAATCGAAATGAAATGAAATAAATCGATAAATCGAATACATATTTCATTTCATCACATCTCGAGTCCAACATGTTCAAAGAAAAAGTATGCCAAGTACTATTTTATACAAAGTTGCAGAATTTCTACTTTACCTTCCAGGTTCTAATGCAGGAATAGAAAGACTTTTTTCTAAATTGAATTTTTATTGGACAAGTGAGAAAACCAATATATTGGAAAGTACGGTAGGCAACGCTTTAGTTCTGCAATATAAGTTAAGGGCTCGCATATAGCTGAGCACCTAGAAGATGTTTAAGATTTTTTTTCGTGTATAAAACTGCATTTTTTTAAAAAACCATAATGAACATTTTGAAGTATGGCATTTATTATAAATTGTGTGAAAATTGGGTTCGAAAATTTTGAATGGTAAAAAAATTGCAGTCGTTTTCCGGGGTGTGTTTTTTTCGAGAGCGTTCGCGGTACCAGACGTGCCTCCGCCATTTCTTATCTGAAAAAAAAAATTATTTTCTCAAAGTAGATAGACAGAACTAGTACTTATCGAGCCGGAATTTGCGAATTCAATTTTTTCGGGTCATGGCAGTCATTTGCATAAAATTGGCGGTTTTTCGCCTTAAAATTGTTGAGTAATTATAAGAAAAAAAAAACTGTAAAATATCGAAAAAAGGGCTCGATAAGTACTAGATTATTGTGTGAAGCATAACTTTGAAAAATTTGATCCCGATCGGTTCAGTAGTTGCGGAGATATTTCTGGTACCGATTTTGAAAATACTGTTTCGAGTAAAACACGTTTAAAGTTTTGCTTCCACTTTACAATGGAATAACTGGTTTATTTTTAAACTTACATGAAATCATCGATTCCTGGGCCATATGACGGATCTTCTCTAGACTTGTCGGAACATGCTCTTGCTATATGTATAAAGGTCGATAAATACGTAGAATCCAACAGGGGCGAGAACACCCAAATCGTGTAGTGTAGACGTAGAATATAGCCAAACAGATGACAAAGGCCGCGTCTACCTGCGCCCGACCGTTATTCGTTGCTTACCAGGACAGTTACGAAACGCTATAACTTCGTCATTACTGCGAATTTCTTTATGAAATTTTCAGGGTAGACACTCGAAGGACAGTACTTTCGAATGAGCACCTTTTTGAAAAATCGATTTTCCCAATTTACCCAGGTATATGTGAGCCCTTAAATATAACCTGTTTGGAAATGTATGAGAAATGAATGGAAGTCTAAAGTTTATGTGAAAAAGGAGATTCTAATTAAAACTGTTATTCGTCATACAATTTTTTTTTAAGTTTATTTGTCGCCCTAAAAGCTTTTATTTTTTCATTACCAGATTCCAGAAAAGAATTATCTAAGATGACCTGTAATTTACAAAAAAGGCTCATTTCAGATCCTTTTTCCTATAGAAACAAAAACATTACAATGGTTAAATCTAAAAATAGAATAGATGAGTCGGTAGGTATGTAGGTGACCATTAATACAATGGAACTGTATATGTGGTTGCCTACTTTTGGAATGAGTATAATCAAATAAACAATTAGGGTCGTCATATTTTTTTTCATATTTTTATCAACGATTACAAATGATGCGTTCAATGACCGACAAATTTTTAGATTTTTGACGATTTTCAAAAATGTTTATGATTGATTTTCCCCAAAAAAATTTAAAAAATTTGTTATACCACGACAAAAACAGAAAAACTATCTTGGCATGTTCAGCAGGTAGGTCTAGTACCGCCATGAAATCTCAAATTTAAATGTAATAATTTTCAGAAAATTTCATCGATTTTTCTCAAAAACTTCTACAGCTCGGAAAAATCTTAAAAAAAAATCCACTAGACTATATGCACCCTTTTGAATCTAAAACTGAAGTCAGTTTCTCTTTTATATCTTCGAGTTTTCGAGAATTTAAATTTTTTTTCACAATGGAAACAAATAAAAACTAACCATCACAGTGTATTCTGTGGGTCAAAATATGTAGGGAGCCGCCCTTAAGTCACAAATTTGATCTTTGGTAGTTTTCAGGAATTTTCATGGACCATCGGTTTTTCTCAAAAATTTCTAGCTAGAAAAAATCTGAAAAAATTCCTCTACACTGTATGCACCCTTTTGAATGTAAAACTGAGGTCAGTTCTTCTCGAAATCTTCCGGTTTTTCAGATTTCTCAAAATTTTTGTACCTAATGATGTACCTAAGTAGGTACATTTTGTTTAAACAAGAACTGACCACACCAGTTTTTCCAACAGACTGAAATATATAAAGACAAAAATATCAAATATAAATTAAAAGTTTCAAGATTTTTTATTTTCTCATTTTAAACCAAAATTTTTATGGACTAGTATCCTGCGTTTTACTGGGGGCTGCTACCACAATTCTTGGGGGTGTATCACTCAAACTTGAGCTTCGATGTCTCCGTCGTCGTCGAGAACTCGACTTGTGCTGGCGAGGACTTGTCCCTGACGAGGAGTTACTTTTTCTCTTGGCAGGTTGTCCCTTGACATCTTAACTGTGATTATTTATTTTTCAATAACTATTGTAAATTATAAAACATTCATATATATTTTAGACTCTTTAGATGTTAAATTATAGACAACTGTAAATACATCAATGTTGTATATACAGTTGTCTACATATGTAATAGCTGATTAAACATTTTGCAGCCGTATATACAGCCTCAGTGTATTTATGGTTGCCTATACAGGTCACGAGATGTTAAAACCGAGTAATTGACTAAAATGCAGCTTATCAAATTTCTATACAATTTTGTTTGACTCAACAAATTTCGTAAGTACAGAGAAAAAAATATATATCTAAAAAATTTAAATTATAATGACATATAGAGGGTGTCGCGCTTTAATGTGATACAAGCCTGTAAAATCTTTATTTTTTGGCCGATTTCAAAATTTGTTATTTTGGAATGCTGCTTTTATTAATGCAATTCATAGCCAACTAGGACACGTTTTCTTGACATCAAAACAGCTGATTGGTTTTAGCGATTTTTTTTCAAAGAACAGATTACGTATTCTCATTCAGCATCCCTTAAATCATCTTCCCACCAAGTTTTATCAAAATCGATACATCTTCAGGCGAGCACTCCATGATGTTGTGAAATGTAATACAAGCCTGTAACTTCTTTATTTTTTAGCCGATTTAAAAATCTTTTTTATGGACTGTAGGGAAAAAACTCTATCTTACTGTGATACTGCTGTTTTTTATTAATGCAATATACGACCAACTAGTGCTCGTCTGAAGATGTATCGAATTTGATGAAACTTGGTGATAAGACATTTTAAGGGATGCTGAATGAGAATCTATTTTTTGGAAAAAAAATCACTAATACCAACTAGCTGCTTTGACGTCAAAAAACGCGTCCTAGTTGGCCATGAATTGCATTAATAAAAACAGCAGCATTACAGTTAGATAGTCTTTTTTATCCTACATTCTAAAAAAAATTCGAAATCGGTCAAAAAATAAAGAAGTTACAGGCTTGTTTCACATTTAAGCGCGACACCCTGTACAGAGTTATAACATTTGTTACAAATTTTAATTTCATCTAAATTTAAATTCCAACACGATAATTGTATTACTGAACGATAATTACGCCAATTATTTATTTTAAAAATACAGTCTGTGGTAGATACTGCCAAACACAAATTTTTATTTTTAAGTATTTATTTTTTTGCTTAATAAGGAAAAATGCTTTAGTCCTAATTCAGTAGTCATATAGATTTTATTTGCAGAAACTTATCAAAATTAAGCATATACATTAATTACTTCCGATTCCCACTTATTAACACCAATCCACAGGACATCTCGGAGCATTAGGATTGGAATCGCAGGGATTACACGGTGGAGGATCAGTTACCCCTACGAATTTCTCTCCCCTCTTTATGTCACTAATCAATGTCGGTATGGCGTTATCGAACATGCAAGACTCAAAATCGCTAAGTTTGGGTAGCCCTAGGTCCTTCACAATACCGTTAGGACCTAGTAGAAGAGGAGTAGACAAATATTTTAGCTGCGGGTGAGAACTAGAGAAGACGTAAGCTGCTTCTATTATTTCGGGATAGCCGCGGATGGCTTTTATAAGGGATATTACGAATCTGGCGACTGAGAAGGCACTGGATAGGGGCGCGGTTTCGGGGGGCTTCAGTTTCAGGATATTCTCGTGAGCTTTTCTTATGTTCATGGTTATGTTTTCAAGTTCCTCCTACAATAAAAGTACTTAGAAGAAATAATTTGGGTAGTTTGCCATTTACATCTATATCTGTCTCACAAAAAAATATACGTATAAGAAAGTGAGAGACAGTTGTTAAATTTACTTGGCAGCTGTAAAAAGGACGTTAAATCTGGTAAATTAATTATGTGTATTCTCTGAATGAAAATTGTAATGTGCTGTTCATTTCGCATAGTGTTCTGGTATGTTCAACCTGTGAACATTCTATTGTTACAAAAGCCTATTTCTATCTTTGCTTATCATATACAAAGAGAGACGACTGAAGTTGCATAGTATGACTCAAGGCCGTCGCCAGTCAATGGGCTAGGGGAGGGCAAGATGAGAGAGAAGATGGGGGAAATATAAATTATAGGAGAAATAGGTAGTAAATTAATTTTTTTTAGAAATATTTTTAATAAAACAAGAGAAACAAGAAAAAATATAAATAACTAAAAAAATAAAGAAATTCAATGAAAATTATAAAATATATAAAATTGGTGCGTTACATATATAACTTTATAGTCCAATCAGCTTACAAAAAATACCACCTGGAAACAAAAAATATGGTGATATAGGAAAAAAAATTCTAAGATAATGTTTTCCTGTAGCGCATAAACGGCGAAGTTAACCTAAAAAATTCATAAAAGTCAAAAAGACGGTTTTTTGCTAGTAAAAAAAAATTGGACTCCAATTGAAAAAAGTTAAATAAGAATGTTGTAGCTACTAAAAAACCTATTGATTCGTATTTTTAATAATATATCGATTGATGTATTACTTTTCGAGATATATCGAAAAAACCGTCAAATATCGACTTTTTTTGTTTTTGTTGTATCTCCTGCAAATTAAGGTTTTGAAACTTGTTACTTGCTGTAAATGTAGCCCTTGGCAAACAAAAAAAATAATATTTTCAAATTAAAAATTATTAAAATTTTTTTGTTGTCGATTTTTCGAAAAAAAGGTCATCTTGAAAATCGGCTCTTCTTGCTTGACGAATAGTCATAGAGAAACGAAGCAGGTCTCATTTTTTTCCATATGAGTTGTACTTCCATGATAAAAAAGTGATAACGATTTTATTCACTTCAAGTGTCCAAAAATGACTTAAAAAAAAGTAATTTTTTGGTTGTGTTTTTCTTGAATATATTTTTTGATTTTCATTTTTCGATTAATTATTTATTTATTAATTTTTTATTTATTTGATACACCATTCAACAGAAAATATTCCATTACTGAATGGGTGGGAACACAATATGTAACATAAAAAAAAGAAAAATGACAGTAACAATTGGTAAAACAATTCGAAGACAAAAAAACTATAAATAAAGTCAAAAGTAATAAAACTTAATAAACTATATCACATTAATTAAAATGACAGTAGTGTGAAACAGTCATATGCTTTAGTAAAATAGAATAAAATATAATAAACATTATACATATAAACAAGCTGAAATGAAGAATGCCCATAAAGACACAACATAAAATGAATAACAAAACAAACAAAAGCCAATTAAAATAGGTTTGCTATTGATTTTGTCTATTACATGAAAAGTAGCTCTATGACCTTTTGGAGCCAATAATTTTTTTTCCCAAAAAAAATTCCACAGGGTGCTATTTCAGTGCTACTTATGACTTATTGAAATACCGCCCTGTCTCAGGTTCCAGTTGAGACGTGTCTGTGTGTGTCATAGGGCTACATCTTTGAAATATGTGTTAATTTCAAATTTTAGTTAATTTCGGAACTATTGAAAAAAATTGAATCTTTTTCAGGTGAAAGTGTAAAAAAGTAAAAAGCAAAGCAGAAAAAATAACTAAAATTAATAGTGATTTTAAATATGTGACTCATAGGAAGATTCATGGGTTTTCAAAATGGATCATTGCTGGCAATATATCACCAAAAGCTAACAGGGAATTTTTGTGAAATAATGATAATTTTGGTTAATATAATAATTATAATAATAATAAATGTCTTTACATTGACGTAAGTGTTTAAAAACACAAAGCATCACACTGTATGTTTTTTGATGTCATCAGTCTCATACTTAAAAATTTCACTGGAAGCAGATGTTATATTTTTATTTTAACATATTCCTTAACAAATTTACATATTTTTATGATATTTATCCAAAGAAATTATTTATTTTCACGTCGATGACAGATATGCCAAACTCGCTAAAGCAATAAAACGAGTTTATTTTAATTAAAAATTGTATAGCAGTGGCGGTGCATCAGGTGATGCACCGCTTCACTTAAAATTTCCGTTTGCTTGTGCAATTTAAAATTATTTTAAATTTTATATAAATTTAGGTATAATTCTATATTGAAACTGTATTGTGTTTGTTTGTTTAATACGCAGAAATAAACAGAATAGTTGCGCGGTGAACGCCTTCTAAAAAAACATTGCCTTCATTGAGCGCGAACATCAATCTCGCACCATACAACGTATAGTGACGCATATCGAAATCAGTCTGTATTCCACTTCTCTTCGAAGCGTTGTTTACGGCGGTTGTCATGGCAACGAGGCGGCCAACACGGGAATAAACTACGGCTTGGGGGAAACAAGTGACGTGGATATTGAAGCAGCAGTGTCATCGCCCATCGCCTGCCTTTAAATAGTATACGCCTCACCCAGTGCACGATCATAACAGTTCTCAGTTAATATTTGTTTTGCAAAATAATTTGGAAATGTTTCCTATGATGGAAAATTGAGGACAAAATGGATTTTTTAAATTGTGAGAGACCTGTGCCTTATTCTCGGAAAAAATATGGGGGAAGTCAAAAGACAATGTGTAGGTATGTGCGGTAGTTTCGGAACGAATGGTATTCGGAGTATAAGTGGTTGTGTGGAACTGTTTATTTAAAAAATCTTTTCTGTATGCCGTGTTTAATTATGGGTGTAAAGTCGGGTGTGCGGAATAAGGAGGGATTTAACAATTTAGGAAACGTCACGTGAGGCTGTCCTAACCACAAAGTTTCTTTGGAACATAATATATGTACGGTGAGCGTTAATGTTTGCAGAAGTCCACAAGCCGAACTAATATTATTATTGTTTTTTTATAAAATCTAAATGAAACTCCTTCTCACGAACGTGAGTTTTTCAATAAATGCAATTAAAAATCTCCAGATTAATTTCTAGCCATTTGACCTTGAAAATTTTCGCATGCGGCGCTTTTTTTTTCTTTTTGGTCAATCAATAAATATGCTTCACCTATTCTTAATGTCACGAGCCGCCACTGCTGTATAGCCTTTAAATTCGAGCCAGACATATACATTTTAAAAAGTTTCCTGTTTAAATCGATTTCCCAATTTAATTAAGCTAACAACAACGCACTCTCGGACTGCTGACGTTAACAATTATTAAAAACTAACCATATTAGGTAGTAATGTCACTAAACAATAGCTGTCTTTCAAATTCATACTTACGTTTGTGAATTCAGCGCAGGGTTTAGCTTTGGACAGCACAGGAATGATCGTATCCTCTGTATGTCCTCCTACAACTGGAACCATTACACATTCCGGTTCAAGACCCAAGACTTGAGCTACAAATGTATTGGCACGCACTGTATCCAGGGTGGTAACACCAAACACCATTTTAGGATTGTATGAACCACCCTTCTTGAGAATTTCACAGGCCATCGGAACTAAGCTGTTGATCGGATTTGTCGCTATGGCCAAAAATGCCTGCAAATGAGCATTTTAAAGAAAATTATAAACTGAAAAATTTTCACAATAAATATATTATGTACCTACCCTTGGACAGCTCTTGGCCACCTGGGTAACAATATCTTTCACTAGCTGGGCGTTGGGTAACCACATCTTGTCGAAAGGCAGCAAATCTACTTCTGGTGCAGACGCCGCAATTACAACAATTTTAGAGTGCTGCAATACACGTTATTTGTTTCCTAAGCTTATACTCTCTATAATATACAATAATTTACCTCTAAGGCCTGATTTAAATTTTCCCTGCCAGTAAATGCAGTCGCCTTGCAGTTTGTATCCACATGGTTCAGTTCTAAAGCGAAACCGCTCGTCGGTTTTATATCGTGCATGCACAATTCATCGATTAAGGGACACTGCTTTAACATTAAACACAAAGGCTGTCCGACTTTTCCTGTATCGACCAATGTAGTGTAGTTCTAGTGCGATATATGATAATAATAATACATACCTAATGCTCCAACGACGGTTACTTTCATTAAATTTACACTGGATGCAAATTGTCTCTTGAATTTTTGAAGGCCACATTCCGCCACTATTGGATTTACATTATGCAGTAAACTGGGAGTAGATTGATGAATTTTATATAGAGCTTTTAATGTTTTATTCATCTCTAAACTTCAAATTTTGTCAGTTGGGAAATTCGTGTCAGAATTTGATATCTAGTCATTCGCCTACTTGAGGATTTATGAAAATTGGGTTTAGGGCAATTAGAATCACAGAAACTATATCATGTCGGGTTTGTAACAGCATGAGCACTACGAATTAGTAGAAACTAGAGATAACCGATTACAAATTTTTATCAATCACATTGAAACAGGAGAAAGTTAGGCAATCATAATGAACAATTGTAGTGAACTATATATGGCTGTCGATTCAATAAGTGTAAGACTGCGACATGCTGTCAACACCTATTTTGGCCCGCTGGAATGATCTGTTTGAGAGTTTGAAAATTTTTATTATTATACTTTGACATATTTTGTATTCTAAAGTTGTGAAATCAGAAACCTTTAACTTTTTGATTCCATCTCAATTTTCTTTTGATACGTTTTAAGTTCTTCTGATAATTTCTCAAGGATTCAAGAAATTTTATTACAATTACAATCACATATTTTAAAGCTCTTAAGGAATTTTATTTTATTCTGAAGTGATTTTACATATCTTGGGGCATAATAAAGCCACTTTGGTGTATCATACAACTGTTTTGAAAAATTATACAGTGTGTCCCACAAGTAACGCAAAAAATTCGTATTTTATTTTGTTGCGTTTTCAAAAAAAAAAAAATGCTAAAACACCTCAATCAGTATATAAGAATGGTCGTTTTGTCACGTTGCTTGAACCTTTTTTTGCTGTTTCATAAATCTACGATGTCATCAACATTTTTTTTAATAGCACTACCTAATTCTTAAGCATAAAAATATAGCCCTTTTGAAGGCAAATGCATCGATATAGCCTACTTTACTTTGACAGCTGCGAATAAAACAGGCAAATCTTAATTACAAACTTAATTTAATGTAAAAAATATGAGAGATTTCTCAAAAACAATAACTTAAGGATTTTTATTAAACAATTGTATGTGACTTAAAGATGTTCAAAGTGACACCCGTTAACAGTTAGGCGAATTCATCCGTGGTATTTTGAATTTCTTATTCTCTTATGCGCACTTTTAAGTCCTCGATGATGTCCGGTCTATCAACGTAAATTCTGCTTTTTAAGTAGTAATAATCTAGGCGAGTTAAATCGGGTGAACGTGGTGGCCACTCAATGGGTCCTCTTCGACCTATCCATCTATTTGGAAAAATTTTATGCAAATAATTCCTTACAGCAATCCCAAAATGAGTAGGGGCCCCATCCTATTGAAACCAAATACTATCTGCTGGATTATCATCTATGTGATTTTTCGTATTTGTTAAAGTAAAGTAGGTCAAGCCCTGTATCGACGCATTTCCTTTGAAAACGGCTATCCTTTTATGCTTAAAAAATTACGTAGTGCTATTTTAAAAAAATGTCAATGACGTCATGAATTTACAAAACATAGCGCAAAAAAGGTTTAAGCAACGTGACAAAACGACAATTTCTATATACTAATTGACCTGTCTTAGCGTATTTGTGAAAACGCAACACAAATACGAATTTTTTGCGTTACTTCTGGGACGCACTGTATTAGCTTTATTTGGAATGATTAAAGACACTGAAGTTTTTCCAGCATTTCAAAGAATTGTGATTTGATATAAATAATTTAAAATAGGTATATAAAATATTATTTCTGGGGTCTGACTATGTTTTCATGGTCACTGAATCCAAATCCTGGGGCCATTTAACCACAACACATCAGGATTTTTCATAACCTCAAAATATAGGCCCAGAAACCCAATAAATCCTATATCCATTGACCGCTCAACTCCTATAACCTCTTAATTCTATAACTCCATACCCTGTAGCCTCGAAACCCCATAAGCCGGTAAGAGACTTATGCACGTTTAAGCCCTAAAACACAGTATGTTCGAGCCACATGTGCTTCTCCAGTCTAAAACTCATATTTCCCAATAATCCCATAACCTCAAAACTCAGTCAAGAATAGACTTATGCAAGAACTCTCATGAATCAAAACTTCATACATCGATATACTACTTATTCGTGTGTTTGCAATCCAGGACATCTCCACGTGGTTGACGGTGGGTAACGGAATTATTCCGTCATCCTGCAGAGACCCTGGATATCGGCGTTCAAGTTGTAATGGTAAACTCATGGCAAAAAATTATCATGCAGGGGGTCGGATCCCCAGTACCTAATAAAGCACTCTAAAGAGAACAGAAGCCTTCTATGTCCATGTCGTTGTTCCTGAGTTCGGCAAAATGTAGGCTCCCCCAATGAAAGTTTCATTTTTACCGGGTTATGGGTGTAGGGGTTATAGCGTTTCGATGTTACAGAGTTATAGGAGTTGAGGGTCAATGAATAGAAGATTTATTGGGTTTTTGAGATTATGAAAAATCCTGTCGTAATGGAGTTAAATGAACCCTGGACTCGGATTCAGCGACCCCGAAAATATATGGTAAACATAATCTGAAGTGATTCTTTTGATTTTTTTGTGGAACTATGTAATGTTTTGCAATTATGTTTCAAAAATGTTTGGAAATATAGTTAAAGAAACGTATTTTTATTAAGTTGTTACACCACTGTAGAATTTTCAAAATATCGTTTTTTTTTTCTTAAAAGGTAGTTTGAACCCAAAAGGTTTTATACATGAATTTTTTTTTTAATTTTGCGCTTTTCCTGATACGTGTCGGGCGTACTCTCATACGGCTACCTGCACTATGAACATATTCGCTCGGAAGGTACCATGTACCTTCTTACCTATTGGTTTATAACTTTTCTAATTCACTTATAGATGTCATTAGGGAGTATGTGTGTACAATTGAAGCAAAATTTTCAAACAAAGTACGTTAGTGTAGCATCTTAAAACTTTAAACACATTTTTCTCGAAACACGCTTTTTCAAAATGGCACACGCCATAACTCCAACAATTTTCAATATTTTCTTTTGAAATTTTAACCATATTTAAAACAACATTTTGATTTTGGTAAAAATTTAACGTGCTACTTCAAACTTGCCAATTTTACAAAAAAACAATATTTTTACAATCCCGTACGTGTTTCTCTAGCTATACTCACGTAGATTAAGAGCAATTTTTTTTTTTAGTTCGACCTTGAAATTTGCACTAGTTCTAGTGCGTGACGAACGCCTTGACGGCAACATGTTTCAGAAGAATCGCTCCAGTGCCGCCATTTTAAAATATTTTCTAAAGAAAAAAAATTTCTGTACACTTAATACATTCCTAGTAACATATTTCAAGTTTTTTTTCTATTACCTTCCCAGGGTTCATAGTTCAAAAGTAATAAAGAATTCACCGACTGTTCCAGGTTTTCCCTGACTTATAAAAAAAAATCCAGGTCACTTGTTCATTTTTACATACTAATTGGTGTTTATGCATTAAATTTGTTCTCGATTGGACTCCATAATCCTTTTTATACCCTATATATAAAGGTTTCAAAACCACAAATAGTTTTCTCTTTCAAGAACTCAGGGCCGGCTTTCACAAAATTTTATTAGTTACAAACATCAAATTCCCTGACTCATAAATATTTTTAAAACTCCCTGACTATTCCCTGTTTTTTTATGAAGAATTACAAATTCCCTGACTTTTCCCGGTATTCCCGGCCGCTACGAACCCTGCTTCCCTTCTCTTAAAAAAAAATTGTCAAAAACACGCTTTTTTAGGCCGTTACAGTGGTGTAACCCCATAAGAAAACAGGAAGACACCCCAATTTTTGATAATTGTTTTCAAGTTCTACTTGACCCTTTGGTGGGATGCCCAATTTCAGCGACTTAGAAAAATTACTGCAATACTGGCGATATCGCTCCCAGTCACCTTTTTTTAAGTGGGATTTTAAGGGCAATATACCTTAAAAATCCACCACCCATCTGAACAGAACATGGCGCCCAACGTGGGGCAACACATCTGAACGAGAACAAAATCGTTTAACCCTCAGACATTTTTAGATCGATTTCCAATTTTATGACATGAAATCTAAAAAATGAAGTTTTTAAAGGAGATTCATGGGACACCCATTTAAAACTAGTCCATAAATCACAAAGTACTATGCGGCTAAGGAAGGAGATACTGAAATTTGAGTAAAAAAAATTTAAGCATTAGGTATATATTATTAATTAGCATACACATCAATATAAATATGAAATTATACCTAATATTAAACAAAACGATAGAGAAACTTAAACCACAGTACCAGGTGATCACAAATCCGAGTACAACCGGCATCGAGCAATTTCGAATATATTCTAGATATCATTACTGAAAAGGAAAATAAACCTGTCTGTTCCGGTTAGGGCACAAAAAACAAATTTAAACGAATAACGATTTGTACCGAGGCTTGTGGTATCCTAGTACTACTGGACACTAGAAGCGAAAACATACTATTCCGCCGGACCTGTCCGAAAACGTTCTATTGACATATATGTTAATTAGAAAATAAAAGTTGGGTACAACCTCTATACTTTGCATTAAATAAATGCTCCCTTTTCACAATATAATAATACATATCATATCATCGGGGCACCGTAATTACATCCAGAGTAATATACTTGATTATAAAGTTAACAATTATTACACCCTAGTGCCTAATAGTGTATTATGGCTAAGCTATCTAATATTATTACATAATAAACACCATTTAAATATTACTAAAAATACCACAGATATAAATCTGCCTACGTGAAACTATCCGCTAACCGTCCTGAAGGACAGATTTAATCCGTGTGATCCAAATATTTATCGAGTGCATATTATTCGAACGCACACAAAATAAAAATTCTTATAATATGTAATTGATCCTCGAAAAAAACCACTAATTCTATGCAAAGTATAGCTTGTAAAATTATGTGCTATCCTTCTCTTTACATATTGTTGGGCCATTTTTTACGCACGAGTTACTTTCCACGAACGTATACCGAACCAAGTGTATAAGCTCACAACACTAGTAAAACAGTTGTATACACTTTAAGTGAAAAATTCTGTAAATGGCTTTCAAGTCTCTTTTGGACGTGTTTTTATAACAAATTAAGATGGACCTAACTATTCAAATATTCCTTTTTTCAAATTTATATAATACTGCTAAAAAATAATTTAAATAGTTTTCTTTGAACTTATGAAAGAAATACAGTGTGACGAGTTAAGACTAGCGAGTAGCTAAATTTCGGGCACTCTTCGCGCTGCGATTTTGAGGTAAAAAATATATTTCCACTTAAGACTTAAAATGGTCGACTTAAGAGGGTTCTATAGCAAATAGGCAACCAGCAATGCATTTTTATAGATTTTATTACACAGTTTGTCTAAATATGAATTAATGCACAAATAACAGACTTTCCCCCATTCTAACACAGATTTTTTATAAAACGGACTCGGTTTGAAACTCGATTTATTTTTATAAAAAATCTGCGTTAGAATGGGAGAAAGTCTGTTATTTGCGCATTAACAAACTGTGTAATAAAATCTATAGAAATGTATTACTGGTTGCCTATTTGCTATAGAGCTCTCTTAAAAGCAGAATGTAGGAAACTTGTTTTAAAATTATTGCAAAATAGCGTAAATACGGTATTTAAAAATAAATGAATATTATAATGCATCTTTTAGTAATATTTAGAACTTATTAGCAAAACTTTTAAAACGAAAAAAGTTTTTATCTAAAAAAATTATTAAATAAACAAAGAAAATTGAAACTTTCAAACTTATTTGAAAAAGAAACATTCATACAGGCAGAAACATTCATAGCTTTGAAAATGAAAAATTTATTTTTGAAACGTTAACAAAATGAAATATTTTCTATTCTTAGTGAGATCTTCGGTTAGGCAAAAATTTCCAGATAGAGAAAAAAATTACTTTCCATTAATTAATAACGAATAAATGAACTTTTATCCATTTTAAATAAAAGTGTTCTTAGTAAAAACTTTACCATTTCCTTGCTACCAGAAAATGTAACAAACATACATATTTATTTATTCTTAATCATATTTAAGAGGGCTTTATAGCAAATAGGCAACCAGTAATACATTTGTATAGATTTTATTACACAATTTGTCTAAATATGAATGATTGCACAAATAATAGACTTTCCTCCATTCTAATGCAGATTTTCTATAAAACGGAGTTAGTTTGAAACTCAAATTATTTTTTGGTGTAAAGAAATTTGTAATTTACAATGCCAAAAGCGGCAAATTACAAATTATTTTACAAGTAATTTGAGTTTCAAACCAAGTCCATTTTATAGAAAATCTGCATTAGAATGGGGGAAAGTCTGTTATTTGTGCATTAATTCGTATTTACTGTGTAATAAAATCTATAAAAATGTATTACTGGTTGCCTATTTGCTATAGAACTCTATTAACAGCAGAATGTAGGAAACTTGTTTCCATTTTAAAATTATTGCAAAATAGCGTAAATACGGTATTTCAAAATAAAGAAATATTACAATGCATACTTCAGTAATACTTAGAACTTATTAGCAAAACTTTTAAAACGAAAAAGTTATTTTATCTAAAAAAATTATTAGAAAACAAAGAAAATTGAAACTTTCAAACTTATTTGAAAAAGATACATTCGGTTAGGCAAATATTTCCAGATAGAAAAAAATTACTTTCCATTAATTAATAACGAATAAATGAACTTGTATCCATTTTAAGTGCTCTTAGTAAAAACTATATCATTTTATTGTTACCAAAAAATGTAACAAACATACATATTTACTTATTCTTGACCATATTTAAGAGGACCCTATAGCAAATATGCAACCAGCAATACATTTTTATAGATTTTGTTACACAATTTGTCTAAATATGAATTAAATGCACAAATAACAGACTTTCCTCCATTCTAATGCAGACTTTCTATAAAATGGAATTAATTTGAAACTGAAATTACTTTTTGTTGTAAAGAAATTTGTAATTTGCCACTTTTGAACAAGAAAATTACAAATTTCTTTAAAACACGAGGTAATTCGAGTTCCAAACTAACTCCATTTTATAGAAAATCTGCGTTAGAATGGAGGAAAGTCTGTTATTTGTGCATTAACTCATATTTAGACAAACTGTGTAATAAAATCTATAAAAATGTACTACTGGTTGCCTATTTGCTAAAGCCCTCTCAAGGCAGACCTTCCGATGCTCCCCTGTCGTTTTTGCTATAATTTAAAAATGGAAACAGACATGGACTTCCTCTTTTTATATTTATTTTTCTTAATCAACGGTCTGTCAAACAAAGCAAAAAAGGGCATGATTGCAATTTTTTTTTAAATACCCCCTATAGTCGAGTATACAAGTTAGCTTTTGAGTCGAGTCATTTAAAATGAGCCATAGTTTGTTAAATTTGGATAAGCAAACTCAACATTCAACGCAACTATTAAAAAAAAGAAAAAGATTTGTAGGTGATAAAAAGTATATATAGTACATCTACTTTTTTGACCATATCCGAGATTATTTATCTTAAAATCGCAGAATGAATGGCGTTTGAGACATAGCCGGTCCGTAGTCTGCACTGAACAGGCTGTTAAAGAACTAACGAAATTAAAATGTTCGCAGAGCAAACATTTAGTTCAAGACATTCAAAACGCACTTATAAAACCAAAAGCCTGCTAACTTGACCTCGTGAGTAAAAAATGACCCAAACGGCGACCCCTATAATTACCTATAGACAACCAGTGCGCCCCACTGGGCACATCTGAAAAATAAATTCCGCTGTTGCAGAGAAGAAAGCTACTTGTAAAGACAGCACAGGGGCCGCCGAGTCTCGGATATTACCAAAAATTTGCCAGAGCCCATTTTGTTTTCAACGCCTCCGAGGCTTGATTTTTAAAAAACGAGGACTTTTACATAATTGGATGGTAGGGTGAACCGATAATGGATGATTTAAGTTTGATATTGGCACGGCATTTTACCAGGTTATCCAAGATCGTTCATTTCTTTGACATAATTTTGAGGTATTCCAAGGCGTGGTGAGCCGCCGAGATCTGGGCTTCCTTAGGGGTCTTGCCGGTTCCGCAGCACACCGCTATGGGGAGCGTGGACAGTTGCACGAGGCACTGGCAGGCGCCGCTTAACGTTTTCTCCTCGATCTCCACGTAGGTCACTTCGAAAGACTGTTCGGTGGCTATGTCCTGGAGGTATTGAATGAAACTGAAGTCTTTCACGTTTATGGCAAGGGTCTGCAACGTAACGTACAGACTTAAAATTTTTTTGCTCTCACAGAATGGTTTACTTACAGGCTATTTTTGTCACGTCGGTTAAAAGCACCGTTTGGTATGAATTCTTGAAGAAAATGTTACGTCAGGTAAATGAAATTTTAAAAATGTTACAGGGTGTCCCAATATTGCTCGGATTACGACTGATCTTAGCTTTATCGAAAAATGCTTTAGCCGTTAAAAAGATACCAATCAAAATTGATAAAAAAATCTTTCAGTTTTTTCTAAATATTTTGTCAGATTTAAACCGAATTTGATACACTAGTGTACAGATGTCACTTTTTGACGTAACAACCAAAGTTACTACATTTTTGTATATTCATTTTTTTTTAAGGTACATAATTTTTGCCCTTGACATTCTTTTCAATTTTAACGGTTTTCCAGGAATTAATCATGTTCAAAGCCATTACCAAAGCAATTTCGATATAAATTTAATTTAATTACCATTAAAAATTTACTTTGTATAATTTAGTAAATTAACAATTAAGTTAAAAATATATATACAGGGTGTAACCTTTAGAAACACATATCAACAGTTTCTTTTTTCAAATTCCGTTGATTCTTTTTATTTATTTTTTTTAATAATTTTGCTACTCCGCCTCTGGACAAGCTAGCGTGAGGTCAAATAAATAATAATAAAATTGCCTTGTGTAGTGCAAACCTTAGTCATTTTTTTTCGGTGTTTAGTAACGGTACAGTATGTTTGTATGTCTTCATTGTTAAATTTCTGTGTGATACTACGTTTGGTTAAAATTATGAAAAAATTAGAAAAAAGTTAGGCGGTCCCGTCGCATCACGGTCCGTTCTGGGCCGAGCTGATCGCGGTCTTTTACAAAATCAGTCACATTTGGCAATTGCACACTATCCTGCTCGTGCTCTCCTTTAAATAGTTGCGGTATTGTTTTAGTAGTTAAGAAAATGTTCTATGGAAGAGGAAGCTCGTCTCAATCACATCACGGTCTCATAAGATTCTTTGGAAAAGATCGGAGAAAGCGATGCGAGTGAGACGAGCTCGGGAATGACTAGTGTGAATGCATAGATTATAAAACATGGGACTATGCGCACAATTGGGACTAGCACGGACCACGAATGCCTAATGCGTTCTCCCTTTAACATTTCGAATTTTCCTTAAATCCAACAAAACCAGTTATTTGCAAAAAAATAACATTTATTTCAAATTCTGATGGCCTCTAGTGGCTGAACAAAGCAATTTTTTTCATTAGAGGTAAGTTCAGAACAAGTTTATTTTAACCAGAAAAATCTCAAGTATGTACATGAAATATTGGTACACCCTGTAGAGTAAGTGTAAATGCTAAAAATGAGTAAATATAAAAATAAAAGCATGTACTGAAAATAACGCATAAATTCGGTAAAACCTGGCACTTTATCAAGAAATTAACGAAAATGGACAATTTTCAAAAATTAACTTAAAAACATTCTTTTTTTACCAAAATTTTTTTTTATCAAAATTAAGCGTTACTTTAGATACATTGTTATCAAAAGATACAAACAACCCATATACAGGGTTATGATAAAGTAATGGATAAATTTTATATTTTTTAAACAAATAATTAAAAAAAAACACGATAGAACGATTTAAATTTTTAAAAACACCTGTTCTGGTGATGGATACTTGTGACATCATCGCTGTTAAAATTACCTTTAACTGAACGTGTCACTTCATTTCTTGACACATTTTTAGAAAACCCACTTGATTGACATTGCTAATTCCTAATTTTTTATTTAATTATTATACAAAAGTTATTAATAACTTTTTGAGGATAAACAACAAAATGGCCAGTAGAGTGACGGTCGCTGGATCTTAATCTCCTTGATTACATATTTTTCAAACTCTAAAATCAATTATTGTATGTTTAAACACATTATGGCTGTTACCAGTTACATCATTAGTTGTAACAATTTTGTTCGACTTCATTTAATAAGATTTTTTAGAAAAAAAAAAGCAATTAGCAATATCGAGACTGTCTGTTCACAACTAAATTCGACACCACAATGACACAAGGCAAAAACAGACAAAAACGACGTCGCAAGCTACCAAATGATATATTTTAAAAAATAGAGCATATTTCGAATTCAGTCGTTTAAAAAAATATCGAATTTATCCACTACGTGCGTCATCACAACCTAGTACAGCAAAACCAGCACCGCTAATTACAATGGCGATTGCTTTACCTGCAGTTCCATCAATTTTTTCCCTGGTGCATTTTTGAGTGTCTTGTGGAATTGGGACACCTTATGAGACAGCGGAGTGCCCAACTTGGTAATTTTACTGTCTTTTAATCCCGTGTACCGGCTCTGTATGTTGTTTAACTTTGAAGACAGCTACAAGAAACATACACAATTGAAATGAGCTTGTGCTAAGATAATTTGTACATTACAATTCTGTATATTTTTTAGCCAGACGTAGCCATTGAAATTCATTGCGTACAGAAAAGACAGTAAAATTACCCTAGCACAATTAACGGCGGGTCGTCGGCATGTCGTAAATCGTTACAGAACTGTTATAGGCAACATACAAAAAGTGCGCTTTTACTTAATGGTACTAGGGGCGACAGTTTAAGGTTAGTAATACTTAAAAAAGCAATTGGTGCTATTAATTCACTGTTGTAGTTACGTTTATGCAGCTCAGATCAAATTTAACGTATTGGTAAAAATAGGTCCCAATTTTTTTAATTATTAGACCAGGAAAGGAAACATTTCATTTTGAAATTTATTAATTACTGGGCGTGATTTTATTGTTGGAAAGTCTTGGGAATGATAATACAAGAGGCGTCTTATCAAATGGGTCATGATAAAAGTCAAAAAATTCGTCATTTTTCGTTCTACGTGTTATTGTAAAAAACTATTAATCTTAACGAAAAATGTTCAACAGACGATTTGATCTAGAGAAACTCATCTTTAAAATGAGACTTTATACGTTATAATTTTATTTATAAACAAAAAATGTATTGCAAAATTAAACGAAAAAAGAGCTTTTTCATTAATTGTTAATAACTTTTTAAGTAATTAATAAATCTTACCAAACTTTTCCAAAATGTGAGTTTTTATATCTTTATCCTTAAGAGATCTGCAAAAGATGGGCTCGATCGGTCAAATAGTTTTTGCAAAATTCCATTTATTTATCCCATTTTTGCAAAAAGGCCCATTTTCAAATGACTATTCCGGGGGCAGGGTTATGACTAAAACATTCTTTTTGGGCTCATTTTCTTCGAAGAGACACAAAGTATCCTCTAGTTAAAAAAAAAAATATATTTTTTTTCAAATTTAGTTGAATATAATTGGAAAAAATTATAAATAATTTTTTTTTTTATTTTTTCATACTTTTTATATAATTATGGATTNTTTATAATTAGTTTAAAAATATATAAAATATTTCCATAGATACTGACAGCAGAAATTTTTTTTACAATTCATTATAAATTTCAACTTCAATTTGGGGGTTGAGTTAAATTAATTTTGAAGTTAAAATAATTTTGACAACATTTTTTTATTGAGAACTTGTCTAAAACATTTCAAATAAAAAAAAATGAAAAAAATTCTTTTTTCAAAAAATTCATTTTTAGGGGTTAGCCCAAATTAAAAAAAAGAAGGTTCTACATTACATAGAAGCTGATATATTACAAATTTGACATTGTCAATTTTTTCATGGTTGAATGAGAGGAAGATCACCCACCACCACTCCCTGAAGGGCTACTGCCGCGTACATTTACTTTGACAGGTTCTGGACTGATCAATTATGGGCAAATTCAATTAAAATTTCAGGTCTTAATGTTTTTAACAAATTGCTGATTTAAAAAAAAAATTGCTAACTCCAGACCTATTGGTCGTAGAAACTTGTTTTTTTCAATTTGTAGATTTTTTACGAGCTTTCGAATGGTGTATATAACTTCTTTCAAAAGTTAAAAACCGCGGAGTTATTTTATTTGTTTATTAGGGAAAAAAGTGCCTTTCATTTGTTACCAATTATATACAACTAAATTTCAAAAAAAAATTTTTATCTAGAGGATACTTGGTGTCCCTTCGAAGAAAATGAGCCCAAAAATAATGTTTTAGTCATAACCCTGCCCCCGGAATAGTCATTTGAAATTGGGCCTTTTTTTGCAAAAATGCGATAAATAAACAGAATTTTGCAAAAACTATTTGACCGATCGAGCCCATATTTTACACATCTCTTAAGCATATAAAAACTCACATTTTGGGAGAGTTTGGTAAGAGTTTATTAATTATTTAAAGAGTTATTAACAATTTAAAAAAAGCACTTTTTCTGTTTAATTTTGCAATACATATTTTGTTTATAAAGCAATTTTAACTTATAGAGTTCATTTTAAAGATGAGTTTCTCTAGATCAAATCGTCTATTGAACAATTTTTTGCTAAGATTAATAGTTTTTTTACAATAATGCATAGAACAAAAAATGACGAATTTTTTACCTATTTGTTGATAAAAAACAATGATGCTATACTTTTTCGTGTCCCACAAGATGAGACGCCACTTGTATTATCATTCCCAAGACTTTCCAACAATAAAATCATGCCCAGTAATTTTCACAATTTCTTGATGATTTTTCACCTTTATGTATAGGTTTATTCCATTTAATAATAACTTTTATTGAATTCTACATTTACAGAATATACAGGATGCCAGAAAAGACAAGTACTTCCCCGAAATATGCAGCGCACAATTTGTACTCTTTTGGACCCTGTATATGAAAACTAAAATTTTATAAAAAAAAAATTAATTCAGCTTCGTTAAAGAATAAACCTATAACTAAAAAAGATTGTCTAAATCGGAATAGAATAGCGAGAAAACCAACTTTGAATTTGGCCCTACTTTTAATCTTGTGTTAATTTTGATCCAAAGTGTACATTTCCTCCATTTACTGATTTTAAAAAATGCCATGCTTACTTTACATGTTAAATAACAGGATTATTTTTTCTTTTCACAAGCTTTAAACATCAAAAGGACAATCACATTTAATTAAAAAAAAAAATGATTAAAATGTAATTAAATTATCGAAACTTACATCGTCGTCGATATCGAAAGCGTCCAAAGGAAGGTCCTGTAGGGTCTGCCACATCTTGTGGGCAGCCATGCGTTTGGCCAGCTTCTTCGATTTGCCGGTGCCCACTTCGCGGAAAGACATCACAATGCAGGCGATAGTGAATTGGCGTTCGTGGGGTAAACCTTCCTCGTGCTCCATATTGTAGGCCGGTGGGGCCCAACGGCGTGACATGCACATCTCCTGGAGCCACCCGATTGGGTTACCCATGACCTTGTCGTCATAGGGAGAGACGACTTGGCTCGTTCTGAAACAGAGATCAAAGTCGTTGCTGATACCCCTAAGTTTATTCTTTGTTATTTTTTTCATGTTACATATGGGGAAAATTAAATCAGGCCACAGAATATTCTGAATAATTGTTATATTTTGAATAAGCTTAAATACCCTATTAAATAAATACTCACATATCAGTAGCTCCAGGTGTGCCATTGGTTTGATTGGCCTGTTCAGGAGTTTGCTTGCCAACAAGCAAATCAAGCAAGTTCTTTGCTGCCGCGTGCTTGGCGTCTTTCTTAGAGCGACCTGTCCCGGTCGCTAATAAATCCGGGTTGATCAAAACCCTATAGCGGAAAATGGGTTCGTGGATAGCCCCTTCGATTTGTACTAGTTCGTACTTTGGGGTGATGCCACGTCTACTCAGGAGCTCTTGCAATACGGACACGGGCGTTTTTAAGGGCATGGACGCCATTTCCTAAGAATAAAGCTATTCAAAGTCAAGTTAGAACAACAAAGATGTCATTTTGTTAACAGCACTTTGTAATTATGTTACATTCAACATTGCGTGCCACATCATTCATATAAGAACATGGTCCTATATGTGAGATTTGCACTAAAAGTTTCGTCCTTTGGTCTACATCATTTTCAAAGAATGATATTAAAAAGCAATATACATTTTGCAAAGAATTAATATTAATAATATCCTAAAAAATATTAAACGATATATTTCGTATTTTTACCCAAGATATCAAGAACTGTAGAAATTTTATTTGAGGTATGCTAGACATATTTTTAATGAACCACTTTCAACAAATTTATATCTTGACTAAGTATTTTTAAAGTGATAAGTATAAGTGTAGATATTTTTTAAAGTAATACAAAAAAAGAGAGGTATAAAAATATCTTTTTTTTTTGACAAAGAATGTATGACTCGTGTCTTAAATCGTTTCATTATCGATATCTGGTGTGTTAAAGTTCTTGAAAAATATCACAAATTCCTAATACCTCAAAAAATGTTTGACATACAGGGTGTCACGCTTAAATGTGATACAAGCCTGTAGCTTCTTTGTTTTTTAACCTGTATATTAATGAAACTTAGACTGGTTAATTTATTTAATAAAAAAAAAAATCAGCAAATTTATAATTATATAAATCACTAAAAATTTTAAAATTTTGGAAGTGATGAGTAGGTATATTAGAAAATTCAATAAAGACATATTTCTTCCATTTTATTCGCAAAACGAGGAATTTTCGAGATGTACATATTTTTCTTTGACATTACACAGTTTTATAAATAAAAGATAGCTCTAAAAGCGTTTTTCTTACAAAGAATAAAGATAAAACATAGGAATCTTGTATTGGAAATACAATTGCAAATATGTAATCGTTAAAAATTTAAAAAAATTTAAAAGACCATTGATAAAAATTTTGAATTTCCTCAGTATCGAAACGGGCAAATTTCTACAACACTAAATTTTCAGACTTTACGATTATATTGTTAATAAAATTGTATCAACAACAATAAATTTATATTGTTTTTATGTTAAAGAAACAATTTCAGAATTATTAGCGATGGGTTCAACTACGTGATAAGTTTATTTTAGACTGAAAAAAACAAAAATAATATGTATAGTCTTTCCGATCTCTATTGAAGAATCAAGAGGTTGGCAATATGTACCAGGTTCGGTCGCTGACACAGTAATTCGGCATTAAAATATTTGAAAAACTTATTCCAATATTTATTTAGCCATACCCATATATAGATCTGGTCGCCCAGTTGAAGAATGAACGCGCGGGCAAACGCGGCATAAACACAGTCGCACTGGGCGATCGGGCCATAAATTCAGTCATCAACAAATGGCCTAGCGGTGCAGTGCAGCAATGCGGAAATTAGTGTGATTCAGGTAATTTTAATTTATTATAGGCACCTTCTATTAGTCATTCATATTTATTACAATTATTGCGAAAGGGCAAAATAAGAGGGACATTTTGTTTACTAATATTATTACAACATGGCATTTTGGATACCTTATGAAACGGAATAGAATGAAATTTACCATCAATATAATAAAATTGTTTGAGGACATAAATAATTAAAATATGTTGTTGGTCAAATGAACATATAATATAAATTTTCTACACATTATATACTAATTATTATAATTTTTTACTTTTAGCAGAAAACTTTTTTAGGAACGCCNGCATTTTGGAGACCTTTTGAAACGGAACAAAACGAAATTTCCCATCCATATAATAAAATTGAGGACATAAATAATTAAAACATGATGTTGGCCAAATGAGCATATAATAAGAATTTTCTACACATTATATACTAATTATTATAATTTTTTACTTTTAGCAGAAAACTTTTTTAGGAACGCCTTTGAAACTAATTAAATTTTATTGCTAGGCGTTTTTATACATGTTCATCTGATTTTGGAAAGACTATATGCCATATTGCAAAAAATGTATCTCGCTGTATCTCGAAAATTAAACCATTTCTGACATCAACTCATAGAAACTCGTTCGAAACTTTTCCCCTCACCACAAGGATTCCACTACATCTCTAGGCATTCTGTATATAAAACAATAGACGAGAATATCACCGACACTTACCAATTTAGCTTCCTCTCCCAAAGACAACCGTTCACTTTGGCTTCCATGAAGAGTCCCGTGTCTATTATTTCTTCCGCGTCTTACATTACCAACATTTGGTGGATGCATAGGACCAGGTATTACAGTCATATTGGCTTGGTCCATTTGAATAATCTGAAAATAAGCGGTAGTTAAAATCATACTGAAAGTCGATTCTTTGTTTCAGTGTCATATGCTTAGAACAGTTATGAATGATTCATTACCAGTTATTGTTTATGTTTGTTACTCCAATGCAGTAAAAATAAAAATAAATCAAATGTAATTACACTTAATTATTCAAGAATGTTTTCATATGGGAAACTTTTAAATCAACTGGCTGAATTGCTGGCAAGACTTGCAATTTTATATATCATACTGTATTAATAGAGTGAAATATAATCTTAAAGCACTACATGGTAATATTTTTAGAGCTATGATTAAGTGTATACAACAGTCAGCACAGAAAAATTTTTAAAACTCGAGAAACTGAAGGTTGAACTGCATATAAATGTATTTATTCACATAAATAAGTTTAAAAAAACTTATTGCAGTTATTTATTAATTAATTCAAATACCTTATGACGGATGTAATATCGATATATAAAACATATATAAAGAATCTTTTACTAACAACATAATATCATTTCAAACATGTCAATACAAAATAACTAGAAAACTTACGTAAATCATAGCTGCAACTCTAGTTTAACTTAGCTCATAACGTAACACAATAACACTAAAAATTTGTTGACCTCAATATATGGTTTTGGAAACATATTTTTGCTGTGATGTATAAACAAATATGAAAAATATAAAACCACATTGAATAATATTTGCAACTTTATATACATAATAAAATATATATACAGATATTTAGATCAACAAATACTCCAAACAATGCATTGGTGGTATCACAAGCACATTTTTCCTTTATTTCCTATGAACTATGAAGAGATAGTTTGAAAAATTAAATAGGTAACTGAGAAGTTAGTTTGTGGAACAAAGTAAGTAAGAAAAAGTTAAATAAATTAATTCAAGTTTTTTTGATTAGGTACCTACATGAAATAAATGCAAATAAATTAAGAACAAAACTGAGTTTAAGTTACTTATTAAAACTACATATTTTTACATAAAATATTTAATGATATATTTAACACTACAATGTTTGATATTGATTTTTTAATGTTGTTTTATCAGATGCAGATAGTAATCATTCAGCACAAAGCAGAATTTAGATAATGAAATAAAAAAAACATAAAACAAAAATTTTGCAAATGTGTTACCATTTAATATGTTTACAAAATAATAAAATTATATACCTTGAAAATATGAAAAAGCAACCGTACCAGTTGAACACCAACAAGGGACTAAGGAAAGAATAACTTGCAGCTGTTCCCTCAAATAAGGGCTTTTGTATCCACCCTTATTCTATTAAATAATCTTTTGTAAAGAGGCTGCTTTTAAGAAGGGTTTCCTTCCCATAAGGGGACCTATTATTTCTTTAGACCAACGGAAACATTTTTCGGTTAAAATTTGCACCTAGGTATATTTGTCAATAAACGAGCAAAAGTGTAAACGCAGAAAAATATGTAAATAATAAACTGAATTTGGTAAACATTATTATCTCAAAGAAAATACATTACTTCGAATAAACATCCAAAACAGGATAAATAAAAATTTAACATATCTGATACCCAAGATAATTACGAATTAACATAAACATTTCACCGGTAAGCAGTAGTGAATAAGCATAAACTCGATCAACAATGATTATAGAGTTCTCAGAAGATTTTTATGCAACAAGAATCATTGTTATTAAACTGGAGTCAAATTTTAACTTGAAAATCATAACTTGAACTTACCGAAAAAAACACTAGGTATTAAAAACTGGCAAGCAAACTTACAAACAAGCACAATGGCGGATTTTATTACTTCACTTTCTTACGGAACGGGTAACAAATCGGGATTTCGTTTCATTGGGTTTTCGAGTTTACAACACGCTCATGCGCAGTTTTGCAATTTTCGATCATTTTCATAAGCCATAATCGTTGCATCTGTCCGAATGATCAACAGTTAGAAGGAGCACGGGTTTAGTATTCCACTTCGGTATTCCCACAAATTTTAAACAGCTACAAATTTGTAGTCCTGTTTTCAATTTATTGTAGTATGTTTACATAACTTCCTATTACTTTCAACAGATTTTATTAAATATGTAAGACCCTATCAAACATATAAATATAAGCAGTTTATTAAGTACTACAAATTTATATTATCGTGTCCTGTATTTGTTTACTATCCTTACCTTGCTTACTCCAAATTCAATATTTTTGTGGCTCATGTGCTTGTTCTTTTTATAGCAATAATTACCACGAAGGCACAGAATAGCCTATTCTGTAAGGAAGGCAGAAGCATATCATTAATTCGAATTTTACAAGCTAAAATTAAGATCTTATCTTAACAAGCGTATACATTACAGCTGGTATTATTGGATTTTAATCGCCACAAAACATAAGTAGGGTAACTGCTAATACAGGCGGTATGTAAATTATTTCCTGTGATAACTGCTATGAGACCTTCTATGCATTATTTTTCACTTATCGAATTTTATGACGATTTGTTTGGTGAATTTGTACAAAAAATGCATAGATACAACTTTTTCGCTATTTATTTGGAAATGTTGTCACGTTATGACAAAAAAATATATGAAAAAAATCTTACGCCAAAATGATACAAGAATTAAGTATTTTCTGAAATTATTAAGTAAATAAAAAATAAAAAATGTTATCACTATAAATCATGCGTTTGAACAAGTCGTTAAAATAAATGTTTCGTTTTCAAATTTGAGAATGACGCTTCATTTTTAATTAAGTTTTGACGGTTTTTATTTGTTTATCTGCTTCCACAAGCTAGAGATACATGTTTATTATTATTAACTATTACTAAACTTATTTTAATTTTTATATCCGTAAGAACCCAAATTGATAGTAATTTAACGCACACCTTTCACCGTTTAATAATTTTTTTCGCTATGTATTCCTCTTATTCCTACAGCATATACATATTACATGAAGCAAAGCATGTAAAAAAGAGGAGAAGCTATAGAGAGAAAGGCAGGCGATAGTTTGGGTACTTGTTCTCTCTAAAAAATCGTTGAACATAATACCATTGTTTAAATATCCTATATTTAAACAATGATAATACCAATAATAATACTCCAGAATAGAAAACTACATTCTGTTATGATACCATAATACCACAGCATAGATAAATAACTACTGTAGCTAGAGAGCTATGGGAGTTGCGTTAGCCAATCATATGCCTGTGCGAAAGAGAAAGATAGTATCCAAACTATTTCTATCTCTCCGTCACTGTCGCCATAAGCGTGCTTCCCCCGTGTAGTAAACGCTCTAAGGTCTATTCTTCTACTAACTTTCATATGTGGATGTGGAGAAGAAGAGGACCGGACCCTCCATTCCACTGTCCACTGACCAGTGACCTCACCAAAATGCCAAAATGTTTTGTTGTGACGATACTTTTACATGAGGATATGTGGTCGTATTATGCTTCTACATGTGGTTATATTATTAATTATTGCAATTACATTAATTAATTATACATTCGTTAGTTATCAATTATTGTTAATTTGTTATTATATTGTGTTGGATTCAACTGCTGATCGCTCTCTATATAATGTATTTCAGTATACTTCAATTATAAAAATTCAAGCAGAAATATTCTGATAAGCCGGCGTATATTGAGAAATGCTTACTTAAACTTATTTTTTGCCGGGATGGTATGTCATTCTTTGTGCTACTGCAATTTTACAATAGATTTTGATAAAAAATATACGAGCTGTCGAAAATTCACAAAAAAATGCTTAAAAAGATGCTGGTTTTGTTGTTAGTGGCATTCCTGGTAACAAAGTTATACCCTTCACATGACTCGTGAGTTGTCATCGCTTTGCTTTCCTTTGAAAAACTTCAGAGCTGCTATACCAACACGCGAATATATCAGTTATATTGCCTTTGTGACATTTACGAGTTTGTTTTTTTTTTTTTTTTTAATTAACTCGATGTATCACTAGCGGGTATTGTTATTGTTTTATTGCATTTTAAACGTTTCGTGTAATTTAACGATAAAATCTACTAGGTAGACTTTTATTTCTAATAATGAACGGTCAATTATGAAATTGATTTGTACAATTCTTAGTACCTACGTTTTCAGGCAAACGAATAGTTTTTTTTTTCTGAACTGACGCCTACAGTTAAAATTATAAATAAATAAAATCATCTAAAAATATATTCATATTTGATAGTACATAAAGCTTTTTTAAATATAAAATATAATACTAACGTAATTGTAGGTATACCAGGCCAACAAAATTTGGCTTATTTCACGATTTTTTAATATATTCTGACACAGCACCAAAAATCTAAATTCATCGGCACCTAGAAGTAGGGATATTACGTTTCTGGGGTCGCTAATCATGATTCTGAACTCCAAAATACTTTATCGTATCAAATTTTGTAATAAACTTAAAAAAATGTCTAAAAATTCGATACATGGCCGATATTTTACGCATTATATCAATCTGGAACTACATTTACACGCAAAAAAGAATTATAGAATTGTCTACGGAATCTAAAAATGAATCCCAAATGATTATTAGGTGGCGTAGAAGTTGGGTTAAAAAATTCCCGCTTTACTACCCATTCCTATGCCACTGACCTACAAAAATTTGTAAATTTTACAGTAAATTATGCACGTGTGTAAATGTTGACACTACACCAAATTTGAATCAATTTGTTATAAGCATACTAAAGACTTCATAAATAATATGATATTAAAAACCGACCATATCCATACAGTGAAAACGGTGAGATTTAGACCATTGCTTTATAAGGCAATTCTGAATTATTTATTGAGTACTGTTTGTGGTTAAAATTTGATTCACTCGAACTGAAACGCCCCGTATAGGGTGTTATCTAAATCTATATCATAACTAGAGTCCTCTGACAGTCAACAAATGCCATAGTTTTGTAACGGTTGGAGAAAATTTTTTTTATCGCACATATTCTTATAAAAGTAATTTTTTACACTGAAGATTATATAAAATGCGGCTATTTTTGATACTATTGTCAATAAATATTTTTTTTATAAAAATATTAAAAAGCTCAGGATTAACATTAGCGCATTCGCCATAATATAGAATTGCATGGACATTCTCGTATAGTTGCACTCACAAAGTTACCAACCGATAAATATGGCGAATTTAACGACGTAACTTATCTGTGAAACAATTGGTATTTTCAAAATACTCGATAAATCCGCCATATTTGTTGAAACATATCTGTTTGTTGGCCACTGGATTTTAACTAACGAGAGTGTTTGTATTAACATATGTTAGGTAAAGATATCCTAACATTTCAATTCTCCTACTATTAAACAATTTTATTAGATTACTACTACTGAAAGATTATTATTAATCCTGAATGGGTTATGACTATTTTGTTTGATAATATAAATGTATTTTTTAAATTGTGTTTTATTTAAGGGAAAAATAAAAAATATCTACATATAGATAACTGTAACAATATGTTACTCCTACATTTTTTGTTTTTATTATATTTGATGTAAATATAGGTACAAATAAAATTGTACATTTACACTAACTTGTTTTGGCTCAACTAGGCAGGTTAATCACGTGATCACCGTGTTACAGTTTATACGTAGAGCACTCTGCTTGCATTTTAGCAGACATGTTTAGATTCATTTATAGCGTAGTAATACATCTTTAATTATAAAGTTATTATAAATAAAAACTGAGGCAAGTACATAATATGACTTTGTGTAAATTGTAAATCTTTATGTAATTGGAGGATTTTAGCCATTTTACATATTGCTTTATTTACAACATACTTTGTTTTCAGTTTCATGTTCTCAAAGAAAGTGGTCGTTATCCTCGACATGGTTGAAACTGTCTTCACATGAATCAATAACCTCGGTAAGGTTTTTTCCCAAGGATATAAATGAAAAATGTTATTGCTACTAGCTTAATTATTTTAAATTAGATACCTATTTAATACAAGACAATGTCCTCATTTATGTCAGACAAGTATATATTGTTTACTTAATTATTTCTTGTAGTTAAAGAGACCTAAGATTAATTCAAGCCCCATATAGTTTTCGCGAGTATGAAAGCGAATTTAGAAACAAATTTTTAGATTTAAACATCGAAGGGTAAAGACTAAAAAAAGTATGTAAAATTACGTAGGTACTAAGAGCAGTGTTTTGTCACTTAAATAAGTACCTAGGCAATTTGATACTTTACAGAAATTGCATAATATACAGAGTATTTCCTTACTAGTTAATACTATTTTTCCTTCATTTAGGACTTCACCACCTTGGAAAAACATAAATACGTATGAAGCATATTCTTTGTAGAAATCTTACAACGCAATAATGTATAGATTTTAATTTCTTCTTCAAAATACTATGTATTTTCTTTGTTTCTTAGCAAAATTATACTTTTGGTGTAGTAAATATGCATATACGAGGTTTGATCAAAAAGTAACACAAATTTTCAAATTGTGCGTGTTGTCTATCCTTGTCTATCGCGTTGATTTTTTTATGTATTGGTAGCACTGTTAGTGACGTACCTGTCAAATTTTAGGCAGCTACCACGCTTAGTTTGTGTTTAGAGAGCGAATGAGTAAGACTTACCTCAGTCTCTTTGGCGATTCTTTGTGTAACGAAATGTCGGGTCAGGGTTTGTCTGGCTAGTTCGTGTCAAAAACGGAATTGGTACAAATGTGTTCAGGAAGGCCAAGAAGATATTGCCAGTTAACAAATGCTCTATTTACTCAGTTTAAAATTCAATATGGCGACCAAAAGAAAAAAAGAAAGTTGATGATGATTTCTCGCAACCGAAACGTCGCAATGAAAATCTACCTACAGTGAAATTCCTCGAGCTGTGAAAAAGTGTTTTCAGACTTTCAAAATTCTTCTAAATAACAAAGTTAAGACGATTTTCGAGAACGCCACGTTTCCTTTTTTTCAAAATAATTCAAAAATCTGAAGAACTAAGACCGGTCTGCAGCGCCATTAAGTTAGCGACAGAACTGTCTAAAACTCCCGTATTTAACCATTTTTCTATCTCTTATAGTTTCCAAGATACCAATACATGCATCACCAAAATGGTCCACACTGTATATTTTCTTAAATTATTCAAAGAATTTGATAATCTGTAGTTCTAAATGGACCATCTATTAAAAAGTTTTCCTAAATATCCAGGAAAAAATTAAAATCTGGCAACACTGTGCCATTCCCCAATGTCATTGAAAACTTATCGCGAAGAGATTATACCTAGTCTGGCGTCAAAATAACCAATGACCTAGTGTGTAATTCTACATAAAATTTTTATGAGAGTATTTACTGAGTTTTTAACATTTGTTTTGTGTTTGTGATTGAGGCGGTATCTTAGACCCAAAAAAGGCGATCGCGAATCCCGCGCCCCGACTAACGCGCTTCGAGGATAATGTTATTATCGCGCTTGCACGCTTACACGCTTACATCGCAACTATAATCCCCAACAAGTTTCAAACTACACACCCTTAGTTGTACTGGTCACTTTTACTGGACAGCTCTATATCAATATAGAATCGCCCGTGACAGACGGTTAAACTATTATCATTCTTCAACCGGCTGTTGATCGATCACTGAAAGTACTATCTAGTTGGCTGCTGGTACAGTTTTTGAAAAGTGCAAGGGGAAATCAAGTGAGTGATTAGTGATATTCGTTTGTTTCTGTTTCGTTAACTTGTGTTGGCCTAAAAATAACGCCACGCTTCCGAATATCGTCGTTCTAAAGGCGTTTTGTTGAACGGGATGATTATTTTTATTTGTTGATTACAGAATTTTCAAAAAATAGATAATCTTTAATAAAAATGCATATTCCATTTATTTTAACTATTATAATTTTTGTGTTAAATTATTTTCCTACAAAGAAACTCCAATTTATTTACATATTTTGAAACAATTTCAATTTTTATGCTTAAATAATGAACTAGAATTTGGTTCCTTTGAATTCTAATGGCCTTCGTTTTGAAAAGTCAAAAAATCTTACTTATTTTCATCATAATTGAAGTAGTGCACAATGTAGGAAAATAGAGAATACAACAGTCATTGTTTGTTCAAGCTGACGAGTGTATTTTATGTATTATTAAAAAAAATAATTAAAACACCCATTAATACTACGTTTAGTTAACATCTCGACTGGATACCGAATATCCGATAAATGAAAACATCAACTTGAATGTACAATGTATTGATTTAAAATCAATAGCCATTAAAATGCTTTTTAAAAACTAGAACCCGTGACTATTTCAACGATAATAATGGTTTATTTACATGTTACAACATTTTATATTTGTATTCTATGTACATTGGTTAAATGACTGGAGATTCTTAATTATTATGTTTGTTATTAGCTAATTTATAATTTATTTTTTGATAATATATTTTACCTTTATTCCTTGTTTATTTTTATATTAGTCACTACTAAAAATGCAAAAGGGCATTGAACTTATCACATCCAAGTGATCACAGAATTGCGTGGCTTTACAACCGCTGCCCTAACATATCTAGATGAAAAAACCGATTGTTACATATAATAATTTCATTAAATTTGCATATTTATCCACAAAATTTATTTGAATTCAATTTATTTATAAAATGTTAAGATTTTTCTTTGAGTAATTTTCTACACCTAAGGTTTGGTACAGATTTTTCACATATTTACAAAAAAAGTAAAAATGCGAAAAAAATAATGTGTTAAGATTTTTCTGGAATAAATTTATTAATAAAAGAAACTTTGAAACTACTAAATCATACTGAAATTAAAAATATGTCAATGTTTTTATGAAATTTCCTAGTCAAAATAAAAAAAATTCTTTATCAATAATTATGAATTATATTTTTGATATCTAAAGTTTAGAGGTCTGATTACTGTCATGCTTGTAAAAGGTCAACTTCCATTCTACTGACATATATCAAGTTAGGCTATACGGTAAATCGTGTTTAATAAATTATTAATCTATTTTTTTGTATATAGTCCTCGCGTACACCACCGAATTCGAATGCCTATGTGTTTACGGGAAAACCTGAATTATTGGTAAAGAGATTTATTATTTATCGAGATCGATTGCCTTAGTTTATGACCTCAATAGCTAGACGAATATTTAATTTTAAGTACTGAAAATGTATTATTGTGTAGGAAAAACCAAAGAAAACGCTGCTGATATGAATACATATCACTAATAAGGATATGCTTTGTTTAAAACATGTAATTTTTTAGATTATTTTCATGTATTGGCTTCAAATTTTGTAGTAATCTCATTATTACTGATTTAATAATTATTATTCTTCGAAATACAGTGTGTTTCGCATAAGAAACGACACAGAGCAGAGACATATAGGGTATTCCAAAATATGGTAATTTAACGCACCTTTATACAAAGCTTTACCCCTGAGACATTCTTCGGCCATTTCATTTAACTTTTGCTCAAGAACTTGAAAATTAAGATTCCAACGCACGTTTATAATTTTGCCGCTGTTGGTGAATGGCCTCGCAGAAGATAATAATATACTTCAAAAATTGTTTTGTACAGACGAATCTTGTTTTACAAAGAACGGAGTTGTAAATTTTCATAATTTGCATGTGTGGAGTGATGAGAATCCTAAAGAAACACGACAATAATGACATTACCTGATAGCCACAGCAATCAACATCTTATTTTCATCGCCTACTGAGCTGAAAGTTTTAAATCAGTGATATTACTATGCAAACCGAAACATACGGACCTGCAAATAATGCCATTTTTCTCAAGAATGGCTTTCTATAAGCGATTTTCTCAAGAGGCAATATTTTTTTTAAATAAAACGACCTTTTCAGTGCTGCTGTTTGTTTTAAAAAAATACGACCACTGTAAAAAGTTTTGGCCGCTAAAAGGGATAGGTAACCGGAGAAAACTATCACTCAGTATATCGATCTGACTAAGGCTTTAAGAAATAATACGCCATAATAGTTAGTCCAAATAACTGTGCAAAATTTTAACGCGATCGGACAACTTTGAAGGCTTGTAACTCAAAAATCAATTTTTTTTTTATTTAACTTTTTTTTCGTATATCGTATTTATTTATCGCCGTGAATATGCAGACAAACGTTATCGATGAAATTTGCGGACACCCTGTATTAGTTACGTTTTCCTCAAGCACGTTAGGTGCCGATAAAGAAAAATTTTTATCAATTTTTAAATATAAATTTTATTCAACTTTTTTGTTTTTTTTTGTACAGCTGTTAACATTTTGTTACATATTAGCAATTTTTTATGTTTATACATTTATATACATTTAGAATTACTTGAAGGAATTTACAGATTTTTCAAAATGCCTCAATACACTTCCCAATTTCAAAAATGACATTTTTCTCTAGTTATCATTTTTTCTAGTTGTCATTTGTTTAGAAGACATTTGTTAATATTTTTAGTAGAAAACAACATCTTCAAAAGTAAATCTGAATATACAAAAGAAAAGATTTTTAAATTTGGAAGAGAAAATTCATTTTTGGCAAGTTGTTGTGTCATACCCTGTATAAAATTCAGATATGCATTTCGACTGCTATTTTTTAATTTTTAATAACATACCAATAACGTGACTATAAATTCTTGTAAACCATTTTCTAGCAATTTGCGGTGAATATAAATAATACTTATTAAACAAATGAATATGCAGAGATCTTATAATTATGTTGTTGTAACTTTAGGCACACTAAAGGAAATTAGAAACTAAATTATGCATATATTATGTGATAATTGCAAACAAATGATGATGGGATTATAGCATGATTCCTTCCCTATCCAAAAAAAAATCACTTGTAAATAATAAGATTGATGTCTATATGACACTGTAGTTTTATTAATTTAATAAGAAGTTCTAAGTTAATTTTTTTTGGACATGTGTCTACTTCGAAGAATAAAACATTGTGTCAGAAAGGTCAGCCAGGGGCTGGTTGCAAAAAATTGTTTTTTTTTTGTCTCTTTTACTGAGATAAATTTAATCCAACAGACTGTACTAGAATATAACCATTTTACATCCCTATACATATACAGCTGTTGAAAATTTATTCTTTTGGGCGTATTTTTTCTTAAGCGCACTGTATAAATATTTATATCAAGAAATAGGCCATTAAAAGAACTCCAATTTGATATATAGATCGATAGTTTTTGTTGTCATACAGTGTGTTTAAAATTAGATACATGTGATAGAAGAGATCGAAATTTATTTAAAAAGCTATACGAAAATAGAAACAAATTTTTATTGCAACATTTCGTCTTCATATAAACCTGTTAATATTTTTAAATCATTTTGCTCATTATAAGTAACTTCTCAAAAATCCTAGAAATAATTTTACACAATCGACTTTATTTTCATATTGAAAAATCAATATCTCCGTACCAACATGGATTTATGAGTGGTCGTTCAATTACCTCAAATCTGGTTGAGAAAATCCAATTTATTGCTGAAGCTTTGGATGAAGGAAGTCAGGTTGATGTAGGTATCCCGATTTTTTCAAAGCTTTCGATCGGCTTGATCATAATTTATTAACATTGAAATTGGAGTCGTATGGTGTATCCCCTACTCTATTATCTCTATTTAAATCCTATTTTAGTAATAGGTACCAATTTGTGCAATATCGTGGCTTTCAATCTTCAGGAGTTCCGCAAGGGTCAATCCTGGGGCCACTGTTTGTTATTTTTATTAATGACTTAACTGAATGTCTTACAGTCAACGCAAAATTAATCTAGATTTTGATTATAAAACTGGTGAATGTTTATGAAATAGAGTTACGCAATTTACTGACCTTGGTATTACATTTGATATTAGTTTGACAAGCACATTAGTTTAGTAACCAAATCTATCTGCTTATAAGAATTTAAGCTTTATGCGTAATTGTAAGGACTTTCACAACGTAAAGGTTCTAAATATATATTGTATGCAGCATTTGTGCGTTGAATATGCTTCAGTTGTTTGGAGTCCCATTTATAATATTTATAATATTTATAATATTTATAATATTCAATTAGAGAAAGTACAACAATTTTTAAAGATTACTCATTTTATTAGTTATGGATTTTCTTCTCCTCGTGGTACACCTCAAGAATTATTGCTTTCTTGTTTTAATTTTAATAGTCTCTGTCGTAGGCGAATTAATTTTCAATATTCCTTTTTAAAATTATAAATAACACCTTATATGCAAACTTGTTAGTGTCAAGGATTTTACATCATGTTCCTAGACTTAATTCTAGATTTCACTCTGCTTTACAATTGCCCACACCTCGTACCAATTTACTAATAGCATATTCCCTATATCAAATGCTTTCCAATTACTAAAAGTATGAAGATCGACTTGATATATTTTTTCATTCTAGGAATGACATAAAAAAATTGTTTGTCTAGCAAATATAATCCTTATCTTATTATGTTAGTTAGATTATTTGTTTTATTTGTCTGTTATTATTTATGCTTAAGTTCTTTTGTCTGGATTTTATATTTTGCATGATTGCTATATTTTGTGTGATACTTATATTTTTATTAAGACCTAAGTTCTTCTGTCTGGATTTTATATTTTATATTTTCATTGTCTCTATTTTGTGTAGTACTTATATTTTAATATTTAATGTTGTTTGTCTTTTTCTTTTTAGATTTAGTTAAGGTTTTCTGTTTTACCTTATCCTGTAATTGGCACTTCGTCCCGTTAGATATTATAATTTCTAAATAAATAAATGAATACATAAATAAATTATTTATTTTTGAATCCAATGATATATGTGTACTAAATTACTGTTTAGTGACGTTTTAGACTAGACGCTTGTAAAAATACGATTAAAAAAATAAAAAGCTAACATCTTTGAAAGAAAATAACATTGGCGATTCCCAGTTCGAAACGTTACTAAACAGCAATATGTTAAACTTGGAACAAGCAAGTGCCTAGTGCAATGGCGTGAAAATATTAGTATGTTTCTATTAAAAAAACAATTAAACTTATGATGGTTGCTTAAAAAGGAAACTTTGCAGTAAAAATCTAATGCCACATTTCAATAAAAGAGTAAGAAAGCCCAGAAAATCATGAAATCGATTTTTTTTAATTTGAAACATCCTGTATAGCAATAAAAGCTATCGGACTTGAAAAGTTACAGGAGATACAGGCTAGTAGTAAATAAATTTGATATGTAAATTATTACATCAATTTCCTTTCCATCACATTTTTCGAAGACCAATTTCTATGAGCTAGCCTTACCAATATTGAACTGTCTGACCTTTATTTCAAGCTAAAACATTTTAAAACGTGCCGTCGGAAACAACTGACTGTATCTCGAGTTCATTTTTCAAGGCACTCTTCCTTATTGCAATTATTTCATTAGTGATAATGTTCTAGGTCTAGGAACTACAGTGCATATGTTTACCAGACTTGCGATATAAGCGGCACGTGTGAGCAGGGAATGGTTACTTAATTTGAGTTAGTATGGTGTTATCAAGATGCCGGTTCTAAGAAGACGGGCCCAGAGCAACGGCAGGGCCATTAATGGACTTTTTATTCACTCCAGCCCTCCCAGAGGTAGGTAAAAAAGCTAAATTTGTAACGAAATCAAACGTACAAAGTGAAGAACACTAGGCGTCGTCAGTAAATTTTATAGGGGGGACGAAGATAATATTCCTTATTTCTTTTTATAAAAGAAAACAAAACACCGGATTCGGATTCAGCGTCCCCAAAAACGTATAGAGTATTGGTTTACTTTGTTGGCAATTGATTCTTTACATTTGATCTTGAACTGGCCTTAACACATACCGGTTCAGGTCAAAGGGACATCGGATTCGGATTCAGCAACCCCAAAAACGAATAATGGTCTTGTCTTTTTGACGTCACACCTTTTTGTGGGATTGTGTAATTATTCAAAATAAAAACTAAAATTGATGTGTGATACTAAAAACGTAGTATGCAATTGTAAGGAAAAATAATGTATTTTTTTGCTTGTAAACTATTAAGTATACGAAAAAATGAGAATAGTGAAAAAACTTTCTAAATGAAATGTCGTATTAAAAGGTATTTTTCTTGTTGGAATAAGCTAACTTAGAAAAAGTTCTGAGAGAAATAGAACCAAGCGGTGCTAATTTCTTAAATTCAAAGACATAAACTAGAATAGAAAAGACTGTCAAAAGATGTCATTCAACTAGTTGATAACGTGTACCAAAATAGAAATTTCTAAGTGTTTGCGAAAAAAAAATAAAAGCAAATTTTTCGGCCATTTTGAGATTCGAATATTTTTTCAGGGGGAGGGGCGTCAAATCGAAAAAACGTATTGGAAATACCCCTCTAAAATTACTTTGTAAACACCTCCTTAAAATGTTTGCACATTATTATAAAACACCCTGTATATATATATATATATATATGTATATTTGTTAGTGTTTTTTGACAAAAAACTGCCAATAACTCAATGAAAATGCATTTTTTCAAAAAAAGTTTTAAATAAAAGTTGTTCAAAATAAAATTTCCTACAAAATTGCATACATGAAAAATTTCAATTTTCCCAATAGTTTTCCTTATATCTTTTAAATGAAGTACAGATTATGTGAAAATTAATGTTTTGGAGCCAAAATAATGGTCAATTCATTTTTAAAAAACAAAAGTGAATTAGAGAAAAGGAAATTGTAATATAGTGAAACTGAAAATTTAAATTAGATGACAATAGGAAAGGAATTATATCAATATATATTTTTTTATTTATTAATAATTAAAAACAACCTTTTTTTTATTAGTTTTAACAATTTTTTAATGACTTCAATATATGGTTTCTTATGTAAAACTGCGTCATTGCCGTCACAAAAAAATGCCAAAGAAAACAGCAAAAATAAATAAAATTGCTCATAAATATTCAAATCCCGGAAAACTGTATAAGATTTTCCAAGAATTTTCCGCAATTTTTTTTTCTCTAATTCACGTTATTTAAAAAAAATAATTTTCACATAATCTGTATTTCATTTAAAAATTATACGGGAAAACAATTGGGGCGCAATCTACATACCAAAACATAGAGTTGAATTTTTTTTCATAAATTAATATAAATAAATAAATAAATTAGATTAATGTGAATCTGTTTTTACCTGACCAATATTTTCTCCTTTTACTAAATTTCTTTAAAATATCATACTCTATTAAATATTATTTATTGTTCGACTTCTTGATAAGATTTTTTAGAAATAATGTCTAAAGTTTGAATTAGCTTGGTGCTTTTACAATAAAGTAAAAATTAAAAATTTGTAGACATAAAAATACACTTCACATTGGGTGAAGAATTATGAAAAAAATTCTATCATCATATTCTACAATTAATTACAAAATTTAACACAGAAACGAAATATAAATTAAACAAAAAAATTTAACGATGCTTTAATTGCAACTGAATAGCTAAATGTCCGTCGAGTTTAAACTTTGATTTTCCACGGATCACGCTATTTTGTTGGAAAAAATATACGACCGATGTATACCTTGGGCTTTTACATGCACATTGAACATGAACCCGTTACTAAAATTGAAACACACAAATTCGCTTCATGTAACCCTGAAAACGTTTCTCGCGTTATCAATAAGCCGTTCCTCATGTGAGAATTGCAGATATATGGAAATTACTGCACTTTTGAATACGAAATAAGCAACGTGCTGCTTGGTACTAAAGAATAGGACAAAAATAAACGTCTTTTTGATATAATATTCAAACAGAAAACCAGTGTATGTTTATGAATCTTGCCTTTTGGCTGGCATTTTAATAAGCAATTTTTTACAAGTTCCCTACCTTAGAAGAAGAGTGTAAAGTCGGGATTATTAGAGAATCGCGTGACCAAAGACTTGCTAATATACCACGTAAGAGAATGCGATTGAAAAGAAGGGTCTTAGGGTGTATTAACTGCCTCCGTGTTTACCGTTCTACCCTTTGTAGTGACATTAATTGTTGTTTTACACTTACGTGTTTACTTGTTCTAATTACGGTCGGTCCTTCGACAGTAAGTCCATTCGTCAACGGTGAAGTAAATTAGTACTTAAATTTATTAGATATCGATATCTAGTGCTCTTATATTTTGTTTGTTACAAGAAATAGGTAAAGACATTTATATGTAAGTGTTTTTAATTTTTAAATTACAATAAAGATGCCATACTCTCTGCTTTTTCAAATTATGGCGAATGCGCCAATATTAATCAAACAAATTAAAATAAGGTTCGTTTATTAAGAGTCAGTTTCATAATAAACTAAAATGACCTTTAAATTTATTTTAGTTTTAACAAACTTTATTTTAAAGCCAACAGGGTGGATACTACCACTAGACGTGTTACGATTATTGGTAAAAAATCTATTAACAAATACGGCCAATAGAAATTGATTTAAAGTACTTTTCTCACACAAATTACACTAATTCTTGCTGTCACATAACGTTTGACATAATTTTTCATTTGTCTATTTTCATAGGACATAGCCTGCCTCGTTATGGAAACAATAATCTTGATGAATACTGGGATATTTGGAATTAATAAAAAAATTAAACATTGCAAAATATAACAAGTACTTTTTTGGTACAGTTTTACAATTTAATTTTGGCTTGGACTATGCCAATGTTATTTAGAGAACTAAAAATAAAGGAGGATGTTCTAGCACAACTTCACTATTCTAGCAATAACTTGAAAACGAAAAAGATATCGACCTCCGGTTTGTGTATTTGTTTTCCTTAATAAATAATCTATTATCAAGCTATGAAAAAAACCCAGATCGTTTCATTTATTTTTTTTTGTAGTAAACGGAGACAATTAGAAATCATTGCGCAGGAAAATAATATTTTTATTCCCATACCATAAAAATAAATTTTATTAATAGTTCTTTAAAATGAGTCGTCGTTAGCATGTCTAGTTTCCTATATACAGTCGCTCCGTATCGTTAACGGATCACCCTGTATATTATTTGTATTTTTCAGTCATCCCTATCTTTTAATTTTTTTATCAATACTTCCAACATTAAATTTAATAAAGTATGATTATTAAAAAAACATGCAGTACATAATTTGCACCGAATTGAAAATGTTTTTATTTATGATTTTAGAAGAAACTTTTTTTTTAGTGTAAATAAACGTAATCTAGATATACAAGGGGATTTTTATTTAGGAGTAAATGACACTATTCAAATATGTACCTAATATAAAAAATCAATTAATTTTTTTAGATTCTAACAGCGTTAATTAATAATACTGTAGAAAATAAGCAAATATGTAGTAACAACTTTATTCTGATAATTAATATTTGTTCTAATAATAATATTGATGAAGTTAAAAAATATCTAACGGGCTCAAGTTAAAAATAAAAGTACCATGGGAAAAATTAAAAACAAATAAAAACTGATATTTTTTTAATTTTGTTAATATGTCTTTATTCTGATAAAGAATTTGAAATTTTAACCAGAATAAATGAAAGCTATTAGAATTTGTTAAATAAATAACCATATTTTTTAATAAATGTAGGTATTAGTGCCATTTTCTTCTAAATTAAAAATTTACAAGTATATTTAGGTTGCACTTATTTAGTACCTATACAGACAATTTTTTCTATAAATCATCGTATACAATAACTTTCGCACTTGATCTACTTTTAAACAATCGTTATACAGGGTATTTCAGTCATGATGTCATTAATTTTAAGAGGAGATAGGGAAAATGAGTAGCATACGAATATGCGATTAAAAAAATTTTAAAATCATTATCTATCTATACATCGAGGGTGAATCTTGACTTACCGTAGTGTTCGGTCACTAACCTAACTTTAATACCTATTCTTAACGTTTTCACTGTTTCATAACTGAACATAAGTTTTTAATATTACATATGTTCCAGTAGGTAATTATACAGTTTGTAGTACATATATCGTATTGTGTAACTTATTACTTCTCAGAGTTGTATGGTACCTACTTATTTAAAAAGACAAATACAGCTAAAAACACACTGATTCGTCTATAAAGTTGAGATCTGTTGCACTTTGATTTTGAAACCAATTGCAAAACTAGACGAGACGACGACTAGGATATCAGCTGTTTCGCTACAACATCCAACTGCTGTGTACTCCGCCTGATTGCGCGACGCGTTCCCTATTACGAAGTGGAGCGCCGAGTTAACGGGAGTTACGGGGTAATTTGCTTATTTTTTAAAATGTCGAGAAATTTTTTTTTCAATTTTGTCTTTATTAGGCCTTCCGAATACGTGGTTAAAATTAATGACATTATGACTGAAACATCCTGTATACAGGATAAACCAAATTTGATAATCACTACAGGCGTTTCAGGAACTATACGAGATACTGAAAAGGTTAGATGGACAAAGAAATACAGGTTTTAATGCTTAGCAACTCTGTACTAATAAAAATGTACTCTTTCTTTTAATTTTAGTAAAAATATAAAAAGTTGCTCTTTTTGAAATGATTTTGATGTAGTCCCACTAAAAAAAATCTTGAACCATTTTGTTGCAAGTTTTCGTGTCTTCTTCTTTTTTTAACCAAGATTTTTGAGAAAATAACTTAATTTTTTCGTATGGAATTCATACGAATAATATTGGATTTTATTTACAAATAAATAATTATTATTTTCTGATAATTAAAGTTTTTCTAGATTGACATACACACTATTTTAGGTATTTCAATGATGAATAATTAATGTTCATTTATGAAAATAAGATAGAAAATGTGAAGTTATATTTTTATAATACTTATTATTAAGTTGATAAAATTCGATAAACACGGGTTAAAGACCACCATTACCTCTCGAGTTAACTCATTCCATAGTATTTTGTGATGGCATTTTTGTTATTAAAAGAAGAATAAATACTACGATGTCACATTCTGATGTTAACATGAAACTATTTAAATGCTATGAACTCAAGCTACTCGCTTGATAAATGTTCATTATTTGTTTAATTCCCAAATAACTTTATATCTACATTATGTCCTTAATTATATGATAAATTTGTTTTATATACAGTGCGATTATTAAGTGTCATCGCTACATAAATTTTTTATATCAAGAAAAAAGTTCGGACATTCTTTATTTCACTTGGTTCAATATACTGGGTGATTCAGTCATAATGTCATTTAATTTTAAGTACGGTTAAAAAACACTCGCACATCCCTCCATAGCACTTTATTAATAAAATTTGCATCCGCTGCACTTTGATTTTCGAACCAACTGGAAAATTCAAGACGACTGAGGAAATCAGCTGTTTCGCTTCAATGTTCGAGCGCTAGTCAGTCATTTATTTTACTATTGACAACTCTCACTCCCGTGTCACCAAACTTGGTTTAAACATTGATATATTTATAAGATTTAAAAAAATGCTATAATAATTGTAACTCTTTCCTGTATTTACTCGATTAATAATAATCTATTAACGAAACTTTTTTTTCTCAGTGTAGATAAATAGAAACGTTAAGAGTTTGTAATCAAATCATAAGCATTGTCTTCACAAAGAACGCGTTGCGCTTTTAATTATCCACCCTTTGTGCCCTCTTTTGTAACCTTCCGCCCTTGCAGTGGCGTTACAAAAGGGCGGACCGCCCCTAATTGATTACTATCGAATTATTCCAGTGCTCCAATTAAGTTCGGCACACGTGAAGCAGCTGATACACAGCGGGGATATAGACAAATTAGAACAGGCCGTGCTAGAAGGCCAAGGCAAAAAACTCGTAGGAGAGTACTCGGCAGACTACAAGACAAGGACTTTTTTGAAATCGATACCGGCGTTAATGGTAGGTATTATAGTTAATTATCTTTAATGTTGCCCGTGTGGATTGGTATTTCCTTGCACACGACAGGTGCGTTGCTTTGGTTGTAATGCTAGACAAAAAAAATTGATGTAGTTGTCAATAACATTATTGTTAGGCATATACTTACCCTAAAATTAAGGGAACAAAAATATTTCATAATTTTTTTTAGTGATTTTTAAAAGACTATCTCAGGGAAACATGGTCGAGTCGAGATAAAAAAAAAACTGTTTTGAAGCTTGAAGTCTTTAGTTTCAAGATCTTTTAACAAAAAATTTTTTGAACTGATTATCCAGGAATCAAAAATACCTCGAGAAAAAAGTTTTCTAAAAAACCATACTTCCTCAGCTTTAGCATTTATCTGCCCTTGTTCTAGGGTTAGGCTCTATGGGGACGGATTCGCTAGCAGAAGTCTATCACCACAGACTCTAGCCCGAGAACAACAAAGGCAGGTCAAAGATTAACATTTTGTTGTAATTCGATTTTTTAGTGCTGTGGAATTTTTTTTAGTATATTTAGGTCTTTTAACCTGTTTTCTAAATTTTGAGCAGTTGTACCAATATATTGATTATTGCAATTATTGCACAGAACCAAATAAACACCATGTGCATTTTTTTAAGTCTTAAGAGTTTTGCTTGCCCAAATTTCATATACCTACATGAACTTCTGTCAATAATATTGTCAAAGAATCTTCATTTGTAAAATGATGTTTGGGCACCTATTAAAAAATTGTTCTTTCACATTCTTTTCTTCAAAATATTGTATTAGTTTTTGACACTTAAGATAAATTTATAATTATTTTATTAATGTTTCTAATAATTTAGACCTTTCAACCTTCTACTAGTAAAGGTTACAAGTTGAAAGAAAGTTTTTACTTATTTTTGATTAAAATTTATTGGAATACTATATCACAGAATCATTACGTGATAATGTTAAGTTCTATTGAAAATTCACACATTTTTTTCATCAGCAATAAATGAATTTCTTTTTACAAAAAACAGTTGTTCTTCGCAATTCGGAAAAATAGATACTAATTCTGTTAGTTTTGTTTTTTCTTATGGATCCCTGAATATTTTTACATATTACATTTACATTATGTATGAGACGAAGATTTGATCGCTTTAACAACTGATAATGTCAAAGACATGTTTATGGCATATTCGTTTGATCATTTCATTGAAACAGATTATGTAAAAATGTACAGGTGTTCCAATAGAAAAACTTAAGTTGGGGTGTATACAGGGTACTTCAGGATTAAGTCGACAAACTTTAAGGAGATATTCCTCATAAAAAAAAATAAGAAAAAATCAAGTATAAATTTTTTTCCAGAGACGCTTCATTTTCGAAATATAAGGGCTTAAAGATTTTTTTTAAAATTTGAATTATTTAAATAACTTCTAAATGAAGAAGGCTATTTAAGTCAAATTTGGTATGACACATCTTCTTATAAGATACCATTTTTCTATAGAAGTAGAAGTCCCGCAAGCAACCAGTGGCGAGTTATGGGGACTCAGACTCATTAAATTATAAAAAAATTGTTACCACCCTACTGAAAATAAAAAATGATACTGTTTTTAGATAGAACAGTTTGTTATTGACAAAAAGTGTACATTCACTTTTTTCCTAACCCTTATAGTTTCATGGCAGAATTGATTTTTCGGAAGTTTGCTTCTGGATTCTGTCGATAAACTTTAGGAAGACGTTCCTCATAAAACCTAAAAAAATATAGTACCTATTAAAATTGGTCTTGGTCTCGAGTATGTGTGAGTCAAATAATCTTTTTTGTCTCCCCTTCTCTTGGGTTTAACCAATAGTATTAAAATTATTTAGGAGATGCTTCGTTTTTGAGATATAGGGTGTTTTTTTTAGAAAAAAAAATGATGATGAAAACAATAGAAATATTTAAGTACCTAACATCTAATGTGACTATGTCGTAAAGCGACACTTGCAATACTCCTAAAATTCTTTCAGGTAGAGTCACTTCATTTTCTTGTGTTTTAAATAAAATAAGATGGCAAACAATACATGAAAATTTATTTGTAAATTGAAACAACGAAAAAATGACCAATTAATATTATACCTAGACAAAGCGAAAAGTGAATCAAAAATGAAATGATTTAAAAAATATTTTGTTCAAAATGAGCGCCTCCAGACTGTAGACAAACACGACATCTTCTAATTATGGAGGTAGTGGCCGATCGACACTGAATTGGAGTTAATTCTCGACACGCTTGGACCATTCGCTGTCTTAGATCTTCTAGAGTATTAACTGGCACCTCGTAGACTTTTTGTTTAACAGCACCCCAAACGAAATAATCCATCGGTGTCAAGTCCGGTGAACGTGCGGGCCACGCTGAAGGTCCTCCACGACCAATCCATCTCCTAGGATAATTAATGTTTAACCACTCCCTAGGACCTCTACCGAAATGGGCAGGACAACCATCGAAACCAACTGTTCATTCGAGTATTAAGCCGAACATCTAACAGATCTTGAAAACCATTTTCAAGGAACTCGGTAAACATGTCAGCATTTAACCGATGCGGAAGGAAGTAGGGACCAACTATAGTGTTGTCCAACACACCCAACCATACGTTACATTGGAATTCATGCTGAAAACTATGTTCCCTTACCGCCCGTGGATTCTCGTAGGACCAAATATGGTTGTTCCTTTGGTTTAAAATTCCCCTTCGAGTAAATGTTGCCTCATCTGTCCACATTACTTTTTGCGTAAACTAATCATCATTCTCTGCTTGGTTTAACATCCAGTCACAAAACACGCGCCTTCATCGTATGTCCTGAGGCAATAAATGTTGCACACACTGGATATGGTACGCATGGAGTCCATCAGCCCGAAGAGTCCTACAAATGGAACTTGACGAAATACCTAGCTCATAGCTAGATCTTCTGACACTCGTGAATGGATTTTCATCGAAATGGTTTAAAATAGTATTCGATCTTACTTCATCCTGAAGTGGGGCAAAATGTCCATCAGCATGAGTTGGAATACCGAAAGACCCAGTTTGTCTGAGACAACTGAATGTCGTTGAAAATGTTTTCTTTGCTGGTAGTCTGTGATGAGGAAATCTTACTACATATTCACGGCGAGCTGCCGTGGCATTTCCATCACAAAAACCATATACAAAGACCATATCAGCATATTCATTGTTCGAAAATATGGACGGCATTATTAAACTTATTTCTATTATTAGTTTGAACGCTTTATCTAATGGATAATTTATGCAACAATTCGCAAAATAACATTTAAAACGTCAAATTAACATTACTTGACAGCAGCCTACTCGAAAATTTTTGTTGAGGTTCATTTTAAAGTTTATCGACAGAATCCAGAAGCACCCTTCCGAAAAATCTATTTTGCCATGAAACTATAAGAGATAATTAGGAAGAGTTAGGAAAAAAGTGAATGTACACTTTTTGTCAATAACAAACTGTTCTATCTAAAAATAGCATCATTTTTGATTTTCAGTAGGGCCGTATTAATTTTTTTTATACTTTAATGAGTCTGAGTCCCCATAACTCCGCCACTAGTTGCTTGCGAGACTTCTACTTCTACGGAAAAATGGTATCTTATAAGAAGATACGTCATGCCAAATTTGGCTTAAATAGCCTTCTTCATTTAGAAGTTATTTAAAAAATGCGAATTTTTTTTAAGACGCCCTATATTTCGAAAATGAAGCGTCTCTGGAAAAAAATTTATAGTTGATTTTTTTCTTATTTTTTTTATGAGGAATATCTCCTTAAAGTTTATTGACTTAATGCTACGTTAAGAAAACAGCGATAAAATTAATCTTCTTCGTGAAGAAAAATAGAGTATACGGTGTTCCAAGAATTTCAAATCGAAATTACAGCGGAATATAACATTTTTGCGTAATGATGAGTGCACATAACGTACATCATATTTATTATTGATAATTTTAGTGTCATTAAAATTCTGCGAAAAACAATTTAAGCATAATGTTTACAATATCTGATTCTAAAAAGAATAGTAAATGTTTTCCCTGATTCTATCACTGGAATTTGAACGTATGGGTAAGTATATACGTGTATTTTATTAATATCAACAAACAAAATGCATGTCTTACGCTCGTGGCTTTTTAAATATTAATGCTTATTGATTTTAGTAAATGTCAAATAGTGTATAATGTACTACAAAACATTCCAAATCTATCTGAATTTAAAATTAACTTGGCTTTTATATGGTTACGTTGAACAAGTTGGTAATCCATCACGATAATTAGGAAGAAAGTACCTTTTGAAAGCTTCATCTTGTTCATATCAATTATTGTTTTTTTTTACTACTAAAATTTCGTAAAGAGTAATGTATTTTTTTTTAAAAAAGACACATTAGAATACACTAGAAACGGTAATTAATTCGTTCAACTTTTGGCTTGATCACAAATTAACATTATAAGTACACTTATTTTTAACAAACTTCGTGTATTTTATATCATACTTTTGTCGTTTTTATAGGCAACTTCATAAAATTATTCGGTAATAGTCCATGTAACATGGTTATCTACGTAATGTAATAACAATTCAGATTATTCAAAATGTGAACTCGATATTCTCACATACGCAACTTTTCCAGTAATATATTAACCAAAAATTTTATTAAACATTTTTTTTTATATTTTAGTCGAAAATCTCCCTCCTGCACGACGCAGTGAACAGCGGACGACTAGAAGAACTGCAATCGCTTTTAGAAGAGGAACCGGATAAGAAGAAACGATTAGTCCTTGCCAAGGACGAATCAGGAGTGGGACTTCTACACAAAGCGGTCTATTACGACCTGAAGGACATATCCAGATGGTTGATTGACAAATTCCCACACATTATATCGTTAAGAGACGCGGTAGGTTTATTGTTAGAATTAGTAAATCGGATCAGAATTTGTATACATAAATATGTATGTTAAAATTGACTGACTTTCCCGACGTTATTTCTGAAAGTGTTAAATTGAATAATATCACACTTTAACCAAGATTAGAAACCAATCTCTATTCAAATCTAACGAAAACTGGAAATTACTTTCTTGGCACTGACTCGGTGAAATAAGGGGTCAAGGTGTTCATAATTTCGCTTATGGAAATGGGTGGCACAAAGATAAAATACCATTGCAGCGCAGCGGTTCATTCATGCAATCGTTCGTGTAGTCCACTTTATAAGGGAGATTTCGAACAAAAATACATACGTCTTGAACTACCGACTTATTGGCCACTAAAACCGAAAATTATATTTAGTTAGTCATAAATTAGTTGATTACTTTTATTTTTTAACTAGATATTACCACTTTTATTATTAGCTTTTTGGCATTAACGCTAGGTGTCGTCAGTTATGTCTCCCTGATAGTAGTTAACGCAATAATAGCTGTACTAAATTTACTGCTGAATAATTGTAGGCAGGTAAAACAAATATAGTTATACACATTTTTTTAATATTTAGGAAGGTCGAACGGCATATCACTACACGCCTATGTGCAGGGACCCTCAAAACGCCCAAAAACTTTTAACGAACGCTGGTGCAGATCCCTCATCGCTAGACGTCCACCAGCATTCTGCCAAATACTACATGGACCATAAGCAAGAATTGGAATTACCCAATGGAGAAAAGCCGACGCCGAAAGCTAGAAAAAGCGTAGTTACCAGTGACAGTAAGTATATACTTTGAAGCCTAGCTAAGTGCACATAGTTATTGCAAAAAGAATTAGTTATTAGAGTCTAAAAAGTCACTTATTTGGAGTAAAAAATATATTTGTTGGTATTATGATAAAACTAAAAGATATTTCCCTCGACGTGGAAAAGCTTTATTTGTTTCTTTTTTAAAACAACAGCTATCTGAAACAACATACCACAACTCCTAGGGGCCATGGAACATCAAAAAGGGAGATTTTTCTATATGAACTATAAATTTTCGACTTAGATAATAGGAAAATTAATTAAAACAATTTTTTTTCAATAATCTATTATCCCTATTGTCTACATTATTCTGATATATGATTAGAAAAACAAGGACATAAAGAGAAACTAAAATTTACACGACTCTATTAGAATTATTATAACTGTGTCAATTACCAGGAAGTAACAAGTTGACAGGGAAAAATATTACTTTACCAGAAAGTTCACGTTTTATCACCACCTCGACAAAGATATTTAGGTCGATTATCGACAACTACAATAGCTTATTTGTTTTTCGAATTCAATTTTGTCTGTTTTTACTGCCTTCATTTCTTATGTAGTCCCATGTTTGACATTAATGGTTACAGATGTGACAAACATTAATCTAGATCCCAGAATGAAGTCAATTACTTTAATAATACGATTAACTAATAAGGAAGGAGGAATCATTATATATTTGCTTCATTAAAAAAAAATAATGAAAAGGTTTTAATTAAGAAGACGTACAAAGTAATCTGTTCTTTAAAGTATTTTTAAATCATATTTGCTTTTTTTAAGTATAGTTCTGATTTATTTTTTGAATAAAGACATACTGTTACTTATAAAATTTTATCTTTGGTATTTTACGTGGCCGTGAATTTTTCTACTTAACAACTTCATTCTTCTATTTGTTTCTTTCGCATTACCATTTTGTGGTTCGTGCTTAAATTTATTACATTTAACGGCAGTTTATATGTTTTATGGTAATTTTCACGGAGACAAGTCGTTAAATTGTTTGATCAGATAAATCTATAAAAAATATCCATCAACCTCAGAAACATTAACCTGAAATAATAAAAATGTATTAGTCTTGTTACCCAGTATTTTTTCACCTCGCTTTTAATAATATTGCATGTATTATAATTATAGTTCGGGACTCGGTCGGATGATCATAGCCGTCGCGTCGGCCTTTGGCTACAGCGCACCATACAAAACCGGTAATAACGGCAGTTAGTGGTTTCGCGTTTGCTTCGTGTATACGTGTTTTAATATTCTAATAATGTCGCACGCGCCAAGATGTAAAAAACGACCTTTTGCTCATAAAATAGGCAAATTTATTTATTTTTATTTATACCTACCTGTTTATTTATTTATTCGTTAATTCGAACTCTAATTATAATTTTTCTTAATTGTTGGATTTTTAGAAATAGCAACAATGTTTTCCATGCTTTATTTTGTTAACTAAGTAATACTGTTCTACGATGTGTTTTCTTAGAATGTCGTCATAATTTCAAGAGGTCATTTTAGACTAAAAAGACTTAATGAGTTGGGTACAGTTTTAAAAACATTGGTTTTTAAAAAATAAATTATTTAATTAACATCTGTTTACAACCCAACTGCAAAGAAAATGCAAATACTCATTTCTTAAAAATATATATTTTGGTGAAGCAATTGGATAATTTAGAACAGACATGTTCTTCTTATTTTAATTTTCGAAATGTCTAATGATTTCGCGATTTCTATAAGAGATAATCATTGAAGGAAATGAGAGAAAACCAAATAAAAGTAAGTTATACACCGAAAATAGCAATTTAAACCATATTATTTGAAAATTTTGACAACTTAATTAACATTTTGTAAGCCCGACCATATTTGCCAAAATAACTTTTTCAACTTATAAACCCATAATTAATAATTATCTGAAATTACTTGCCATAGTTTTACGCGTTATTTTTAATTCGCAAATAAATATTATTATAGCAGATTCAAACTATTAAGCTTGTGTATGCTAGTCATTTTGTGATATACTTAAAAACTTAGAAAACACCCCACTGAAGGTAGAAATTGATTGAACTGTCAAACAGTGGCGGAAATACTGACAGGCAACTGATAGACAATGCCATTGATTACCCCACGACGACGTCACTGAGTGTTTTTGAAATTGGGTAAGTGGCTTGTTATTTTTAAGAAAAAAAATATTACACTTTATTTGACAAAACGAATCACTTTAAAATTACGTATATTTTTTTTTTAATTGACACAAAATTAAAACAACTCTAAAATTATTGATTTCCCAAAAACAATTTTTTTTTCGAAACATAATTTTAAATATAGTGTAACTGTAAAACAACCAAAAAAACTGCTAGGGTAGAAGTTTTACATTTTTCTGATTTTTACCTCGCACAATTAAAAAATTTTGAGGCAACGATTTTTTTTCTTTTTACTATTGCACTGTATTTAAAATTCCTTTTTTTTCATATACGTACATTGTTTCTTAATGTTTCAGTTATTGTAGATATATTTAATAGTTTATAAGCTTATTTTGAATTAAAAATAATAAAATAGCTCGTTTTTCAAATAAAGTCGAACATGTTTTTTCTTAAAAACAGCTTTAGGAATTAAATGCATTTGTCCGAATTCCAAAATATTCAGTGCTGTCCAAATTTTTTAGCTAATGAGATAAATTACACGTACACAAAAAAAAGTCCAAACCCAAGAGACCTACATGTCATTTCCGAAGGAATTCGATGCGCTGAATTTCAGAGAAAAGAAATTTTTGAGTGAAAACGCCCAAATATGGGTCAAAACAGATTTTTTCCTAAATTTTGTCCAAATACCTATTTCTGTAGTATTTTGAGGCGCTAAACACGAGATAATTAGTAAAATTCATCCATGACTTCGATATTTTCTCCCGGAAATCCACTATTTTTTTTTATTTAAAATACACATCCAACAAGCGATGCCCAATAACAGGATATGCTAAGTCTAGTAATAAAATGTAAAAATAATAAAAGAGAGAAAAATTAATTACGAAAAAATAGAGAAAAAAAATTGTACAAACTTACAAATAACACAAATATAATGAACAAGATAAAAAGGCAACAAACTATAAGAGATGTGACTATATAAGTAAAGCAGTCCAAAATGTTATGTAGAACTTTACACAAAACATTAATTGAAAAACAGATCTTATTTTAGCAAGGACATGAACATTGAAACGCTCAAGTAATAGATAATGCGGAAAACCCTGACCAAATATGTCACATCTCCCGTTTAAAATACTAAAAATAATTGGTAAAAAAAGATATTATTATTACTTCGGGCTACTCGCTTGGCTGCTTAGAGGGAAAAACACACAAATCAATCAATTTTTACAGTTTATTATAAAATACACATACTTACACTCCAAGGGGTTTCTTATCAAGTGGAGGCTCCTGGCCATCAACTGGCTCTCATGGTGGCTCCGGACTGGCCCCGATTCACCGAGTTTCCGGGGTTTAAATATTCTTTACATATGCTGAATGCATTAGAATTAAATCACCAGTAGAAGAATCGGGAACATTGTCATCAGTTCACCAGTTTATACAGAGAGAGAGAGAGCGAGATGGACATAGTGCAAGGGTCAGTTCAATTTGCAACTGGACACCTTTCGTTGCTTTTAAATCTTATATTAAAAGAACAAATAGTAAGGGTCCGAGTATAGATCCTTGAGGCACGCCAAATATTTAATGAAACTTGTGCGATTTAAAACCACGATGCTGAACAAACTGATACCTATTTTGTAAATACAATGCAAAAAATTGCAAAAGTGATTCGGACACACCAAACCTATCTAGTTTGTAGAGCAAGGGGTCGTGGTCGAGTATGTCAAAAGCTTTAGTGAAGTCGGTATAGATAACATCTACTAGTTTCTTGCTAATAAACTCAGTTTTTTTGGACAAGGTTAGTAATGGTAGAACTGCCCTTAATTAACCGTGTTGTTCCCACGACAACAACCCAGATAGGGATCTATATAATGGATTTTCTGAAAAATTTGGACAACATTTAGGACAAAATTAGTTTTGACCCATATTTGGGCGTTTTCACCAAAAAATTTCACTTTCGTGTTCAGCGCATGGGATTCCTTCGGAAATAATATGTGGGTCTGGGGTCTCTTGGATTTGGACTTCTTTGTGTGTGCATGGGTTATTGGGCCGCCAACGCCAATCATATTCAGCGATATTTGAACAGGTATAGTTTTTCTAAACTAACTTTAAACTCTTCTGAACTTACGACATGGAGTTCGTATACGAACTTATATTCCAATTAAAACTTTGCCTTTCTGATATTTTATCATACAAATAAATAAAAATAATAACTGACATTTGCAAAAAGGTCCCGCGCTAATAACATACTTTTTCTGATGTGGCTTTATGCACGCCAGTGCACTTTATTCCTCGTAAAGGACAACGCAGACTTCAAACCATAAATTTAAATGCGATTATCATTTATCGTCGCTTGCCCGGAGCACGCATCGTATGACAAATTGCAGATTAAGACCTGGAGGCGTCAGAATCGGCGGTTTTAAAACTATTTAATAAGAGATAAGGCGATCGATTCACTCAGGAAATAAAAGTTTAATAATCGCTTCCGGTTATCGGACGTAAAATCAACCCGCATTTTGTAATAATTTAGTTAAATGTGGTTGTTAGTTGTGTCCCTGTTCTCGTGTCTAGGAAGTCGTTACCCCCGATAACGTGGCACTTGCTCCCGCTGCCAGCCCACTATTAATTTTTTATTTGTTGCCTTTTACCGTTTACATGTGTCTGCGATTTTTTAATATTTCAAGAACTGATGCGATTGATTACAGTGCAACGCCATGAAGTTCGACGAATTCAAAAGAATTCTCAGTTTATAGATTAAATCTTAAAACATTCAAACCACTTTCAAATTAATTCCAAATTTCTTGTCGAATTAAAATTTTTACATTGCACGTACAAGCTCTATGACAAACTTT